TCGAGGGAGATTATCAGTGGTCTTGTATGTCTTCCATTTCCTAATAATTGCTCCCACAGTTGATTTCTTCAAACCAAGCTGCTTACCTATTGCAGATTCAGTCTTCCCAGCCTGGTGCAGGTCTACAATTTTGTTTCTGGTGTCCTTTGACAGCTCTTTGGTCTTGGCCATAGTGGAGTTTGGAGTGTGACTGTTTGAGGTTGTGGACAGGTGTCTTTTATACTGATAACAAGTTCAAATAGGTGCCATTAATACAGGTAACGAGTGGAGGACAGAGGAGCTTCTTAAAGAAGAAGGTACAGGTCTGTGAGAGCCAGAAATCTTGCTTGTTTGTAGGTGACCAAATACTTATTTTCCACCATAATTTGCAAATAAATTAATTAAAAATCCTACAATGTGATTTTCTGGATTTTTTTTCCTCAATTTGTCTGTCATAGTTGACGTGTACATATGATGAAAATTACAGGCCTCTCTCATCTTTTTAAGTGGGAGAACTTGCACAATTGGTGGCTGACTAAATACATGTTTTCCCCACTGTAGCGTATTTCCACATATTCAACCGGCTTTCATAGCGTGTCACTCTCCAGACAGACCAGCTCAATAGATAAATGGTCTAAAGCGATGTGTGTAAAGCAGCGTCCCTGTAAGTCAGTCATTCCCCGTATGGCAGGACAGGCACACCAGGAGATAAAGATGTAATTAGCCATTACCTGTGGCTGGATAAGCGACGGGGCCTACGCTCCCCGCCTCCCCCCATTTCCCTCCCGCCAGCCATGGACAGGCCCCATAAATCACATTCAATCCTGGCCCTGTATTATATTAACATGTATTATACAGTTAACAGCATGAAAACAAAGGTATTAATACATACACGTTTACGAACGATATTACATGTCATTGACTGCGGACTCTTTTGGATGAAAAGACTCCCTCGGGATCAACTTCGATGTGTTTTTAAAATCCTTGTAAGCACAACTTGAAAACCTTCCAACTTCGTCTTTTGTCGTTGTCGTTCAATGAGTGTGATTTCTCAGAGCGATTAAGTACAAAATATTTTTCTCACACACAGCTCGTCATCAGCTCTGGAGTAGTATGAGTTCTTTTTTTTTTTCATGGATTTACTTTTCATATTTATTTATATACTTATTAACATCATCATCAGTATTATTATCAACACCAAAAAAGTAATAGCAGTTTAACCTTGCAGAGTAAAACGGACACAGGGGAGGAGGGGGAGTGGGAGGGAGGTTTCACGACAGGAACATGTCTAACCGGTACATGCTATCAACAAGTTACAAGGAAGGAGGACGACTGGTCAACGGCCTTCAAAGCAGGAGACACCATTATTATTTCTACAGTCTCTTCCTGTTTATGAACACTGTTATAGAGGCTGATGGGTAATGCAGTTTAGCTGGATATTTTAGATTTTATTAGGATACACATGGGGGGGGGGGGGGTGGGGGGGATGGGGGGTGGATAGACTGCATCTAGTCATGGCATGGCCTCTGTACTGCATTATATTTACACACGGGACAGAGCACAAACCACTTTAGCAATGGAGGGGGGACAGACGGAGGACGAGGGGTGGGGGGATGAGTGGTGGGGGGGAGGGTTAGGGTGTCTTCTCACGTGCTTTGTCTTGGTTGAGATCCCAAAAGGATGCACTAGAAGGGCAAAGACTATAAAGAACCCCCACCGCCCACCCTTTGTGTGTGTTTTGACATCATTCGTAGCAGCCGCGTCATATACACTGCCACACGGTTAAAAATGGAATAAAACGGTACTTGATCATAGGTCAAATGTCACACGGCCAACGGGCCAATGGACAGCTTTCAACAAGGTCACCTGACCCTCATCATAATAACTAATCATCGTTATTATAGAGTAGTTCCAACCGTAAATAGTAGTGTTGTTACTCCTAGTTTCCAAAATGTCCATGAGACCAACAGTAGTGTAGATCAGTCATCATTTAGATTTATAATAGTATCATCCTGGTGTTAAATATCTTTTTTCTAAATATTATCATCATCACAATTATCATCCTCAACAAACACATTATAGATATCACCATGGTGACCCTCATTGGAAACAGGATGAAGAGAGAGAGTGGTACGGTGATGGTGGCGATATAGGTAGCGAGGGGAGAGGTTGTGGGGTGAGGAATAGGGGGGAGTTGGTGTGGGTATGTGATGCGATGCGTCAATGGCTCCTGGGATAATGCATATTATTTTTGTTTCACAGTGATGGGTTCGTAATTAAAGAAATTCCTTCTTCCTTCCACAGGCGGGATGTGACTTCCGGGAAAAGCTCTTAGACCTTCATCAGGAGAGAGACAGAGAGGCAGAGCCAGAAGCCGATGCCCGCACTCACCCCCACGTTGAGGGCCACACCTCGCCCGTACACGGCTCCCGGCCCTGCATCAAGGGGCCCGGGAGAGAAGGACATGCACCGGAAGGAGAGAGGAAACCGAGGGAAGAAAGAGTGGAGAAGAAAAGGAAACAACCAGAGAAAATTTAGTGCAATGACAGGGGCAAAGCGTAAAACCATCCCTGAAGCTATCTGATATTAGTCATATTGGTTCGCTTTTCGGTCTGTGTCCCATTCGTACAGACAGTTCAGACCCAGCTTGTTCTAATGATGGAGGAGGAAGATTAGGCGAAAAGAGGAGACGAGAAGGGCAGATGACGGAGAGATAAGACATGGAGGCCGACAGAGGAGAGAATGGAGGAAGGCGGCGCAGAAGGATGTATGAGACTGACTAGGGGTGAGTCATTGGAGGGAGACTTGCCGAGGAAATGGCAGAACGAGGGAATGAAAATGGAGAAAGGAAGGAGATGAAGATGGTAATGCCAAAGCGTGGAAGGCGGGAGAGAGGGAGGGATCGAGGGAGAGAGTGAACACAGTGTTGGAAATCGCTCATTGGGGAGGGCTAATGCGAGACAGGAGGAGAGAGAGGGAGAGAAATGACAGCTTCCTGGGGTAACAGAACAGGACAGAACAGAGGGAGAAATGGAGGAGAAGAGCTCTTTGGCTTAATGCGGCGGCGAGTAAAGAGATGGAAAGATGGAAGGAGGGATTGGGGAAGGAGGGAGGGGGGGGGATGAGGAAATCCAGCACTGTGAGCAGGGAGACAAAGAGAGATGAGGATGGGGCAATGCAATGTGTGACTAGGTGTGTGTTTGCGTTGGTTTGCTTCTCTAAGTATGTGTGCATGCGCATGTGACTACTTGTGTGATTGAGTGAAGTAGATTGAGCTTAGACACATGTATGGAAGTGTGTGTGTGTGTATGTTTGTTTGTGTGTGTGTTTGTGTGTGTGCATGCATGTGTATGTACAGTATACTATGTGAGTCTGTGTGTGTATACATCACAGGAAGGCTGCTGAGGTGAGGACGGCTCAAAATAATGTCCGGAATAGAGTGAATGGAATGGCATCACGTGTTTGATGTATTTGATACCATTCCACTCATTCTTCTCCAGCCATTACCACAAGTCCGTTCTCCTCAATTCAGGTTCCACCAACATCCTGTGGTATGCATACATGTGTGTGTGCCTGCATGTGGCTATCTGTGTGTACGTATGCATGCTTAAGTATGTGTTTGTGTGTGTGAATGCTTAAAGAGACTCACGGAAGAGCAGCATGCTGGCGTTGGAGGCTCCCAGCCTGTTGGAGGCTAAACAGGTGTAGTTGCCAAAGTGTTTGTCCGTCACGTTGGTAAAGAGAAGCAGTGAACGCGTCTTCTCGTTCTTGATCCTCAGAGTGTTATCGCTCTCTACTGGCCTGATACAGAGAGAGAGAAGGGAGAGAGGGAGTGAGGTGGGTGAGATAGAGAGGGCGAGACAGAGAGAGAGGGGGGAGGTAGATAGAGAGAGAGGGGTAGGGAGAGCGACAGACAGAGAGAGAGAGAACATAAAATCACACTTCCTTGCAGGAGATGCTGTTACTATATTCTCTCCAGTGATCTCAGAATAACACATTCCCCCTCCTCTCTGTCACTACATCAGAAGCAAAACCTGACAGCACTTAAATCTACAATACGGTCTGGTGTGCCCCGTTAGACTGCTCTCTCTCTCTCTCTCTCTCTCTCTCTCTTTTCTTTTCTCTCTCTCTCCCATGACATTGTGTTTATATTTGAAAGGATTGGGTAAGTGTTACCAATACAGAGCTGAGCTTTTACCATATTGGTCATTACAATCCAATCCTTTGCTGTCGAGAGAGACAGAGAGAACATTAAATCACACCTCTTAGCAGGAGACTGTTACTATATTCTCCCAGAGATCTCAGAATAACACATTCCCCCTCTGCTCTGTAACTACCTCACCTGACAATTCCAATAAAAATCTAACAGCACTTAAACCTACAATACTTCCTGGTGTGCCCCATTAGGCTGTGTTCTCTCTCTCTCTCTCTCTCTCTCTCTCTCTCTCTCTCTCTCTCTCTCTCTCTCTCTCCCCCCAGAGCTCAGCTCTGTATTGGTAACACTTACCAAGTCCTTTCAAATATAAACAAAGTGCCATGGGAGAGAGAGAGAGAAAAAAAAGAGAGAGAGAGAGAGAGAGAGAGAGAGAGAGAGAGAGAGGAGAGAGGAGAGAGAGAGAGAGAGAGAGAGAGAGAGAGAGAGAGAGAGAGAGAGAGAGAGAGAGAGAGAGAGAGAGAGAGAGAACAGTCTAACGGGGCACACCAGAAGGTATTGTAGATTTAAGTGCTGTTTGATTTTGACTATTAGAATTGTCAGGTGAGGTAGTGACAGAGAGGAGGGGGAATGTGTTTTTCGAGAGAGAGAGAGAGAGAACTTTGTTTATATCTGAAAGGATGTGTTAGCAATACAGGAAAAAAATCTACCTAACCTATTAGAGAAAAAGAGAAGAAAAGGAGGAGGTATTTTTCTTACCTGCGGTCGTCTCTGTACCACTCAAAGGAGGCCGTAGGTACTGCCATGGCCTCACAGCGCAAAATGGCCGTCTTGCCAAGCTGGGCTGGCATGTTCTTCACGTCTGTGATCATGGGAGGGTCTGAAGAAGGAAGAAGGAGGGAGAAGTGAGAGAATTCTTTAACATTTGCCTACAACAATGGTGATTAAAAGTTAAGCTCAGACAAAGAAAGGCTCAGTGACCTTCAAGGTCGAGAAAGGTTGAGGTCAATAAATACATGACATTATTAAGACATACATATTGCATTCATACATATTGATACATAACTGAATCATACATATTCACTCATATTTTACATACACTGAACAAAAATATAAATGCAACACGTAAAGTGTTGGTCCCATGTTTCAAATTTGTTTACATCCCTGTTAGTGAGCATTTCTCCTTTGCCAAGATAATCCATCCACCTGACAGGTGTGGCATATCAAGAAGCTGATTAAACGGCATGATCATTACACATGTGCACCTTGTGCTGAGGACAATAAAAGGCCATTCTAAAATGTGCAGTTTTGTCACACAACACAATGCCACAGATGTCTCAAGTTTTGAGGGAGCGTGCAATTGGCATGCTGACTGCATGAATGTCCACCAGAGCTGTTGGCAGAGAATTATAGAGAATTTGGCAGTACGTCCAACCAGCCTCACAACTGCAGACGATGTGTATGGCGTCGTGTGGGCGAGTGGTTTGCTGATGTCAACATTGCGAACAGAGTGCCCCATGGATGCGGTGCGGTTATGGTATGGGCAGGCATAAGCCACGGACAACGAACACAATTGCATTTAATCGATTGGAAATTTGAATGCACAAAAATACCACGACAAAATCCTGAGGCCCATTGTGAGGCCCATTTTTTTTTTAAAGGTATCTGTAACCAGTCATTTGAAATCCATAGATTAGGGCCTAATGAAGTTATTTCAATTGACTAATTTCCTCATCTGAACTGTAACTCAGTAAAATCTTTGAAATTGTTGCATTCAGTATTGTATTATCTTATGGGAGGTATTGTATGTGTGGGGTGGTGTGTGTGTGTGGTGTCCGTGTCTGTGACTGCGTCTGTGACTGGGTCTGTGTGTCTGTGAGTGTCTGTGTATGTGAGTGCATGCGTGTGTTTTGTGGTTTATAGGGACACTCACAGTTGACGGTGACCTTGACCTTGCGTATGTCGGGCTGCGTCACTCCGTTGTTGGTGATGCACTCAAACTCCTCCGCCTGATGTCGCTTGATCTCTGTTATGTCCAGGAACTCCCCCTCACTCATTAGACCATCTGATTGGACAAAGGACAGGATCAAAGGATAGAGGTCAGAGGTTATCACAGGCTGAGATGTGTGTTTGTTCAGGGTCGATTAAATAAATTAGTGTGAAAGTACCAAGTTATGCCCACTAGATGCCGCTGTTGCTGCTACTGCCACCACACCCTTTTATCCATTTTGCTGGTCTCTTGTGTTTATTAAATGTGACTCGTTTCAGGAAACTAGGCGTATGTCGCGCGTCACTACTTCACAGGAGAGGCATTTGAACATAAACATAATTTTTATATCAAAATTCATTTTTTGGCAGAAATGCCTTATGGAACATGTGAACTTTCATGTGCCTTAATAACAAACTTGCATGCCATCTGTAAATACGAATACAATTGTTAAATTACGAGCCCAGTTGGTTTAGCCACAGAAAAAGACAGGAACCTTTCCGCTAGCCATGATTGCCTGAGATAATGGATGGGCTGGACATGCCGAGAGATGAGTTTGGATTGGTCTGCCATGTATCATGCTTCTGTCTATAACAAAGGGCTGCTCAGTATGTGTAGGTAATCCTTTCTAACACAGCTTTTTTTTTAATATATCATGAATAGCTACGAAAGTGTTGCTCTCCACTTTCTGGAGGACAACGTTTTTAAATCAGTGGAATGCCCGGTGGAAGCAGAGTATGATAGCTAAGGAGATGGAGAAAATTCTGGTGTTTGATTGCTAATATGCGAAGGAAGTCGAAAAGAGAACACACAGAAGGCTGTTGAATAAAACATCTGTCTACAGATTATATCTTCAAACTAAGGGCAACCATGGCATACGTGACAGAGAGGGAGAAGCATTCATCCATGTATATGAGTAAGAGAGTCTAGCTAGCTACATTTTCAGATATTATATATGTTTTTAATTTAATCAGAAAGTCGTTTTCATTGCAAGTTAAAGCATACTATTAGCTAGCTAGCTAACGTTAGCTGGCTGGCTCTCTAGCTAACATTACGTTCATGATCTGTGTAGTAATATTATTTGTGTCTCAGAGCCATTTGCATTGCTAGTTATAGCCTAATGTTAGCTAGCTAGCTAGCTAACATTGAATCTAGTTAGTTAGCTACCTGCAGGTTCATGCAGGGTAGTAACGTTATGAGTTGGGATTATGGTTCATTGTTTAGCTAGCTAGCTACATGTCTAAACAAAATACTCCACTATGCAAGGTACCATTTCCATGTACTGTTTACACCTTCTGTATCCTGTGCATGTGACAAATAAACTTTGATTATATTTTATATAGTGTGTGTTTACCAGAGACGGTAATGTGAAGAACAACATGACCTGCATTAAAGTTAAATTAGTATATAATGTTAGGCCAACGAGACAGTGTCCAAGTTCTAAAATTATACGGTAGAATGCCCTGCTTTTATTTCATCACACTCTTTTCTGTAATTAGTTTGCCATTAACTTGTAAATAATGATCGTGTTGTGAGTTTATTTTCCTGTAATAATGAATACAAATAAGCTCAAGTTAAGACGTTGTCAGCTATATGACGTGTTCATTATTTGAACTGGCTAGCCATCTAATGTAATGTTAGCTAGCTAGCTAATAAGCTAGAAACATTGTTTAGAAAGTTGCTTTAAATTGCATGGTTAGTAAATTATTTTTTAAACTGATGGGTTTATTGGCATTAAGATACACCAGTTATGCTATTCTGGACCACCAGGCTGCTGATGTCATGCATGTGAATCCTTAAAGAGATGAGTGGGGCTAAGGCTTAAGAGGGTGTGAACGATGCAGAATGGGGGTAGACAAAGAAGAGCTCTCCAGTACGTGTACCAAAACATTCAAGGGCCATTTTCTTAAAAGTGGGGTTACAAGTTTATCAACATTCAAAGCAGCATTACTTTCCCATTGTTCCTCAACTGTAGAGTATGATATACCATTTGCTAGCTCTGAGTCTCTACAAAACATTTGCTACATAAGACCGAATAGAATACTATAGAATACCAACTTTGGATAGAAAACCAATAGCTTTTGCTCATGATGAGATGAAAAGGGTGTGGTGGCAGCAGCAGGAACAGTGGCATCGAGTGGGAAAAACGTGGTACTTTCACACTAATTTATGGTAAAGAATGCAAGCAACTTCAATAGCTAATTTCTCTGAACAGGGGAAGAAAACCATCAACAGATTCACAGGGAATACTTTACAAAGGTTGAAGAAGCAAAACTCCAAGCAGCAGCTCCATACTACTTGTCAGACATAGAAAACGTATACTGTATACTGGTTGTTGGGGTGGGATCGGTGTGGGGTGTGGAAGGTCTGTGGGTGGCTGTTGGTAATTTTATTGGAATCCTCATGTGTTACTCATTGTTAGGAAGAATGATGGTCCAAATTGGATGTTAGGTACTATATTTATTGAAGATTATATGAATCCTATAAATTAAAATGGCCAATTTGGGTGCAATCAATTAGCTTAATTTCTCAGGGATCAAATTATATTTCTTCCATTTGGTGCCTAATGAACACTACCCAGGTGTAGAATAAAGTTTCCCTAGATGCTGATTTATGGTCAGGGTCAGTTTGGGGTTTTTGCCAGGTTAGGATTGGAGGAGGTGGAAGCTGATCCTAGATCTGTGTTAGAGTTACTGTATGTCCATGAGCAACAGAGCCTAAGCAGATACTGAAGCTAAGGACTGAGGCTTGACCATAATGCTACATCACTACTTCACAAAGCCTCTACAGAAATAAATAGGTATTTATTTTTAAACGTTGGCCACACCAAACTCGACAGGTGTGACAGCGTGTGCGTCACTATGCAGTAAAAACAATATGGGGCTGTTATTTGGTGTTGACAAAACTCCCTAGTGCCCTCTGGCGACGCGGCGGCAAAAGTCTTTACTGAGTCGAGGAGACAGGCATGCTAGAAGATATTGGCTTTATATGTGTAAGGGAATGGATGTAGAGGTGTTATTAGAAGTACAGTGACGAGAGGGAACGTTGAGGGAACGTCTCCACACAGCCAGCTGTCTGGTAGCCTCCAAGTTCCAACACCATTAAGCTTTTCTCCAATTTTCCCCATGAAAGAAGTCAGGCTGTGGAACACGACATAATACATAATCTGTCTGCTAACAAGGAAATCCACAGTTTAAATTGCTGCTCTGTTTTCATTTAAAAAAAACACCAAAAGCCAGTCAGTCATTGGACCACTGGCGTCCATACACACACACATACGTGCCTGCACCCACGTAGCAACTGACGCAAGACACACTAAACGTTAGCGATAATTCCTGTTAGAGATTAGCGCGGCGGTTCCAATTGAAGATTATACTGGAGGATTATTAGCTGCGGCTACTGAGCTGGAGATGATTATCTGCAGCTGCTGCAGCGGCGGTACAGCCTGCTGCCCGCCACCCTGTAGCGAGTAGTGGCAGCGGTGACGAGACGCGTTGGGGGTTTACAGCAATGTTATTCACTTATTACATTAGCCTAATAAATTTGGCTCCCCTGTGACTTCTCCGTCAACGCTGGATGAGCACCCAACTCTGCCCCCAGGGAAGAAGGGAAGGCAAGGGAAGGGAAAGAAGCCAGAGAGCCAAATCGCTGAGACACAACCAGGGCTGCTGAAGACATATTTAAAGAGACAGGCCTAATATATTATAGACAGCTTCTAGAAAGGAGGGAGGGAGGGAGAGAGAGAGAGAGAGAGAGAGAGAGAGAGAGAGAGAAAAAGCAGAAGAGAGAGAGAGAGAGAGAGAAAGCAGAATAGAGAGTTAGAGAGAGAGAGAGAGAGAAAGCAGAAGAGAGAGACAGAGAGAAAAGGAAATGAGAGAATAGAAAGAGAGAGATGGCGAGAAAGAGGAAGACAATGAGTGGTCAAAATATAAATAAAGAGAAAGGAACATCCGGTCGGGGTATTTCATGTGCAGCTGAGAGGTTGGCTGGTGCTTTTGTGGCTAGTTTCATTCTCAGCAGTTGTGTGTTGTAATGTGTCAGTGACGCTGTGCACTGACACATTACATCACATTACATCCTACCCCTTCCTTCATTCCCGGCTTCCCTCCCTGGAGATATCTCTGACCGTTCCTCCACAGGGAGATCATATCAGGGAAACAGTCGTCCTCCAGTGAATCCTCATTGCTCTCACAATGGCCTGTAAAATACTACAGCTCCATCAGACACTACTGGAGGAAGACCTAGGGCTGCCTCAGAAACGGTACCTTATTCCCTATTTAATGCATTACTTTGACCAGGACCCAGAGGACTCCCATAGGGCTCTGATTAAAAGTAGAGTATAAAATAGGGGGTGCTTGTATTTGTCATGTTTCACACATGTACAAGTGTGTAACCTGTACAAGTATGAAATGGAAATGTGTTTTTTGCTTATCCCACTCCCCCTGAGAGTGGGGTCACGGATCAGCCATTACTGACAGCGACCCTGAAGCAATTAGCTTTAAGTGCCTTGCTCAGTAGCAGATCAACAGATTTTTTCAAGGCATTGCTCCAGGGTCGCTGTCAATAATGGACGTCCCTTTCTCTTTATTTAGATTTCGACCGCTCGCTCTCTTTCTCTTTTTTTTGTCTCTCCGTTTCTCTCTTTCTCTGTTTATTTTTGTCTTCCTCTTTCTCGCCAACTCTCTCTTTCTATTCTCTCATTTCCTTTTCTCTCTGTCTCTCTCTTCTGCTTTCTCTCTCTCTCTCTCTCTCTCTCTCTCTCTCTCTCTCTCTCTCTCTCTCTCTCTATCTCTTCTGCTTTCCTCTCTCTCTCCTCTCTCTCTTCTGCTCCCTCCCCTCCCTCCCTCCCTCCCTCCCTCCCTCCCTCCCTCCCTCCCTCCCTCCCTCCCTCCCTCCTTTCTAGAAGCTGTCTATAATATATTAGGCCTGTCTCTTTAAATATGTCTTCAGTAGCCCTAGTTGTGTCTCAGTGATTTGGATCTCTGGCTTCTTTCCCTTCCCTTGCTTTCCCTTCTTCCCCGGGGGCAGAGTTGGGTGCTCAGCCAGCGTCGACTGAGATTTGTGGGGGTGCCATTTAAGACGCAGCCCTGGACTCCCACCACCAACCAAACACTTAGATTAGACCTGAGAGGAAAAGAGGAAGCCAGACGGATGATTAAATGGAAAGAGATCAAAGTTTAGATCTGCCCTGAAGTGAAATTGTAGTCCATTTCCCTATAGCATGTTGACACTGTTGGAGCACTGAGCAGTCAGACTCAATCAGAGCCTTTGTGTTCTATTGCAGTGGAGTGTTTCTCTAGCAGAGGTGGTCTGGTTCTTTCTAGTTGTATCACAGTGGTAGTGGAGCATCTGACAGACATTGTCTGTTTGACTGAGATCCATAGTAATGGAGTCTGATGCGATGGAGTGGCTGGGCCGGAGAGCATCGATGTGGCGTGCTGTTTCGCGATTAAGTGAGGAGTGTGTGAGTGAGTGCATTTGTCTGTATTAATGTATGTGTGTGTGTGTGTGTTTGTGCGTCTTGTCTAATGGATGGGATGTCCAATGATAAGAGCTTGATGTCTCAGATTTAATGGGGGTTCAGATGATGTCTGTGAAAGAGTGTGAATGGGAGATGGAGATGGTATCAGTGAGAGATAAAATGGGCAGGAGCAATACTAGGAGCAGTGTATACATGTCACAGACTCACTGTGGTACACGTCTGGGTTGTATTCATTAGGCATCCATTGGCAAAAAATAGACTGACACAGGGAGGGACTACCTGCCGTTTTCTGTTGCAAAACGTTTTAAAACTATTTATGTTGCCAGCTCATCTATCTCCCAATGCAGTGTCTGAATAAAGGGACAGGTGCATGGTGGATTGTCTTAAAGGTGTGTGTCCCAACTCCCTACACACAGGCGGGATACCCCCTTACCACTTTGTCTCCCACCCACTGCCATGTCTGAATAGAGGGACAGATGGTTCGCAGCTTCTCACTGTTTCTCTAGGCTCCTCTTTCCCTCCCTCTCTCCTCCCCACCACCACTCCCCCAGCAGTCCATGGCTTCGCTGCAGTGACTCCCACAGAATAACAATGCCGCCCTATCTCACACTGCAAACTGAAGGGGTGTGTGTGAGGGAACGAGGGGGGGAGGGTATACTGCTGACAATGAATAAATGCTGTATGTCTGCAGACAAGCACAGCAAGTGGTTATAATGTACTTTCAGGGTGGGTGTGTGTATACTCAGGGCATAGAGATGGAGCAGGACTCCCAGCTACTTCCAAGCTGTTGCACCCCCAGTAGGTCACTGTAACACAGTGTAACACTGTGCTAAACCTATCTAACATCGAGCAGGGTAACTTCAACATGCTCAACACATTCTATGAGATGCATCAAGATGAAATAAATAATGCAAAATCTTACCATCGATGGTGTCAGAAATCTAAATGGATATGACTTTGCTTATTAGACTATTTATATATTTCTTAATTCCATTCTTTTACTTTAAGATTGTGTGTATTATGTGTATTGTTGTGAATTGTTGATATTACTGCACTGTTGGAGCTAGAAACACAAGCATTTCGCTACACCTGCAATAACATCTGCTAAACATGTGATTTGATTTGATTTGAAACCAATGTGATTTATTTGAATGATGATGGAATATATAAATAGTGTTCTAATGATAAACACCATTATTAGCATTGTTGCCATGGTGAAGGCAGTGACAGTGAAGATGGTGACAGATGCTGATAATTGTGGCTGGCACGCGTTATTTGTGGATAATTATGTGTGATGTGATGTGTGTGTCTGTGTGTGTGTGTGTGTGATGTGTGTGAGAGGGTACTAGCAGCCACAGCCTGGGTGTGATGGAAATGGTAACAAGAGCAGGTGACAGAGACAGGTGTCAGTGGACATGGGACAAATAAAGGGACTGGGACAGAGGGTCAGGGACTATGACAGGAAACAAGGACAGAAACAGGGGACAGGCAGGGGACAGAAACAAGGGACTGGGAACAGGGACTAGTTAGTATAGACTATGACAGGGTCAGAGGACAGGAGACAGAGACTGGGAAAGGGACAGGCAACTGGGAGAGGAGACATGAGGACTGGGTACTACGACAGGAGACAGGGACGGGCGTCTTACATTTGTTCTCCTTCCAGGTGACAGTGGGTTCAGGTCGTCCCACCGCCAGACAGAAGAGGTATACGTTGCCCCCCTCGTTCACTGACACGTCTTGGGAGATGTTGACGATTCTGGCTGGCACTGCAAGACAAAAGAGTTGGGTTTTATTGACAGTCATGACTTGACAAAAAGAGGAACTAGACCTAAGCTGCCCTCTTTTCCCCTCACTGTTTGCACTAGTAATCGAACCCCTAGCTCCAAAAATAATGTATTCAACAGAAATGACAAGCATAAAAGTAAGGGGTTACCAAAATAACAATACTAACAATGACAAACACTGATTTCTCTGACTACTATTATAATAAGACAAATCTATAGAATGTTCTTCACTTTGGTGTTGAATATAGGGATGGAAACCAGGTCTAGAAGTTTGTGTCTTTGGTAGTTGCTTTGTTTGTTTCTTTTCACAGCATGACCACCATCAAATGCTGTTTTGTTCTAAATTGCCATTCCAGAGCAGGCACTATACATATAGTTAGATAGATAACTAGATGACCCTCGAATTTAAATGGCCCATTATTGTTGCTTTTAATGAGCTTGGCTATGAGGCTGTTTTTCTGCGAGGCATCTAACTACAGGATCCCATTTTTTACTATCTGGCCAGGCGAAAATACTCTCGCGATAAAGCAAAGATTGGAGCCATCGCTACCCCACCATGGAAGAGAAGACAGCGCCGGAGAAGATGGCTGCCGTTTTACAGCCCTCTAACCAATTGTACTATTACGTGTGTTTTTCCGCGTTATTTGTAATTTATTTTGTACATAATGTTTCTGCCATCGTCTCTTATAACCAAAAAGAGCTTCTGGATATCAGGACAGCGATTACTCATCTCGTATTGGACGAAGATTTTTTCTTCAACGAGGCGGCCGCGAAGGATATCATACAGACACCCGACAAGGCCCAAATCCCCGTCATTCGCGTGAGGAAGAGACGGAGATATCGTGGACGTAGATCGGGGTGCCTTGTAAGGATCCGACGGCGAGCGAGTAAACTGCCTCTTCCATCAATCCTATTAGCCAACGTTCAATCATTTGAAAATAAATTGGATGACTTAAGATTACGGTTATCCTACCAACGGGACATTAAAAACTGTAATATCTTATGTTTCACTGAGTCGTGGCTGAACGACGACATGGATTTCATACAGCTAGCGGGCTATACGCTACATCGGCAGGATAGAACGGCTGACTCCGGTAAGACAAGGGGTGGCGGTCTGTGTATATTTGTAAACAACAGCTGGTGCACAAAATCAAATACTAAGGAAGTCTCGAGGTTTTGCTCGCCTGAGGTAGAGTATCTTATGATAAGCTGTAGACCACACTATTTACCAAGAGAGTTTTCATCTATATTTTTCATAGCTGTCTATTTACCACCACAAACCAATGCTGGATGAGTTGAATGAGTTGTACAAGGCCATAAATCAACAGGAAAAACGCTCATCCAGATGCAGCGCTCCTAGTGGCCGGGGACTTTAATGCAGGGAAACTTAAATCCGTTCTACCTAATTTCTACCAGCATGGAAAATGTGCAACCAGAGGAAAAAAAACTCTAGACCACCTTTACTCCACACACAGAGACGCATACAAAGCTCTCCCTCGCCCTCCATTTGGCAAATCTGACCATAACTCTATCCTCCTGATTCCTGCTTATAAGCAAAAACTAAAGCAGGAAGCACCAGTGACTCGGTTAATAAAAAAGTGGTCAGATGACGCAGATGCTAAGCTACAGGACTGTTTTGCTAGCACAGACTGGAACATGTTCCGGGATTCTTCAGACAGCATTGAGGAGTACACCACATCAGTCACTGGCTTCATCAATAAGTGCATCGATGATGTCGTCCCCACAGTGACCGTACGTACATACCCCAACCAGAAGCCATGTATTACAGGAAACATCCGCACTGAGCTAAAGGGTAGAGCTGCCGCTTTCAAGGAACGGGACTCTAACCCGGACGCTTATAAGAAATCCCGCTATGACCTCCGACGAACCATCAAACAGGCAAAGAGTCAATACAGGACTAAGATTGAATCGTACTACACTGGCTCTGACGCTCGTCGGATGTGGCAGGGCTTGAAAACTATTACAGACTACAAAGGGAAGCACAGCCGCGAGCTGCCCAGTGACACAAGCCTACCAGATGAGCTAAACCACTTCTATGCTCGCTTCGAGGCAAGCAACACTGAAGCATGCATGAGAGCACCAGCTGTTCCGGATGACTATGTGATCACGCTCTCCGTAGCCGATGTGAGTAAGACTTTTAAGCAGGTCAACATTCACAAGGCCGCAGGGCCAGACGGATTACCAGGACGTGTACTCCGAGCATGTGCTGACCAACTGGCAAGTGTCTTCACTGACATTTTCAACATGTCCCTGACGGAGTCTGTAATACCAACATGTTTCAAGCAGACCACCATAGTCCCCGTGCCCAAGGACTCTAAGATAACCTGCCTAAATGACTACCGACCCGTAGCACTGACGTCTGTAGCCATGAAGTGCTTTGAAAGGCTGGTCATGGCTCACATCAACAGCATTATCCCAGAAACCCTAGACCCACTCCAATTTGCATACCGCCCCAACAGATCCACAGATGATGCAATCTCTATTGCACTCCACACTGCCCTTTCCCACCTGGACAAGAGGAACACCTACGTGAGAATGCTATTCATTGACTACAGCTCAGCATTCAACACCATAGTGCCCTCTAAGCTCATCACTAAGCTAAGGATCCTGGGACTAAACACCTCCCTCTGCAACTGGATCCTGGACTTCCTGACGGGCCGCCCCCAGGTGGTAAGGGTAGGTAACAACACATCTGCCACACTGATCCTCAACACGGGGGCCCCTCAGGGGTGCGTGCTCAGTCCCCTCCTGTTCACCCATGACTGCATGGCCAGGCATGACTCCAACACCATCATTAAGTTTGCCGACGACACAACAGTGGTAGGCCTGATCACCGACAACGATGAGACAGCCTATAGGGAGGAGGTCAGAGACCTGGCCGTGTGGTGCCAGGACAACAACCTCTCCCTCAACGTGACCAAGACAAAGGAGATGATTGTGGACTACAGGAAAAAAAAGAGGACTGAGCACGCCCCCATTCTCATCGACGGGGCTGTAGTGGAACAGGTTGAGAGCTTCAAGTTCCTTGGTGTCCACATCACCAACGAACTATCATGGTCCAAACACACCAAGACAGTCGTGAAGAGGGCACGACAAAGCCTATTCCCCCTCAGGAGACTGAAAAGATTTGGCATGGGTCCTCAGATCCTCAAACAATTCTACATGCTGCACCATCGAGAGCATCCTGACTGGTTGCATCACCGCCTGGTATGGCAACTGCTTGGCCTCCGACCGCAAGGCACTACAGAGGGTAGTGCGTACGGCCCAGTACATCACTGGGGCCAAGCTTCCTGCCATCCAGGACCTCTATACCAGGCGGTGTCAGAGGAAAGCCCTAAAAATTGTCAAAGACTCCAGCCACCCTAGTCATAGACTGTTCTCTCTGCTACCGCACGGCAAGCGGTACCGGAGTGCCAAGTCTAGGTCCAAAAGACTTCTCAACAGCTTCTACCCCCAAGCCATAAGACTCCTGAACAGCTAATCATGGCTACCCAGACTATTTGCACTGCCCCCCCACCCCATCCTTTTTACGCTGCTGCTACTCTGTTAATTATTTATGCATAGTCACTTTAACTCTACCCACATGTACATATTACCTCAACTACCTCAACTAGCCGGTGCCCCCGCACATTGACTCTGCAACGGTACCCCCCTGTATATATAGCCTCCCTACTGTCACTTTATTTTACTTCTGCTCTTTTTTTCTCAACACTTTTTTTTGTTGTTGTTTTATTTTTACTTTTTTTGTTAAAAATAAATGCAATGTTGGTTAAGGGCTGTAAGTAAGCATTTCACTGTAATGTCTGCACCTGTTGTATTCGGCGCATGTGACCAATAAGATTTGATTTGATTTGATTTGATGGCCATCACTGTTTGATGCAGTGACTCTGGGGTGTAATTAGTTTGTGTGATATTGCTGCTAAGACTGAAATTTGAGGCGACTTGGAATCAAGGAAACATGGTCATCTGTGTGCCCATTTGCCCTGTGGATAAATGCCTCTCCTTGGCGCCTGCACTGTGTGAACAGTCTGTTGGAGAGCGGCTGGCTTAGCCTTGTGGGTAATGCTGCCTGCACCCTGCCTATGTACACACACACACGCATGCACGTACTGTATACACGCACACACACACGCACACACACACACACACACACACAGTCAGTAGCCTGCTGAAACTTGCCCAGCTCTCTCTCTCTCTCTCCATCTCTGCAGCAGCATGGTGTGTGTGTGTGTATGTGTGTTGGCCAGTTAATATACAGTATACCCTAATATTTTTCATTTTTTTCCGCCAGTCTTGTATTACTGCAATATGCTAGTACACAACATACAATATACATAACAATTGACACATGCAGGGGGAAAAGGTCTGCAATCCATCAGCCGAGCAGCCGGGCGCCAATAAATCACGTCACTCAGGATCAGTCAAACTCTCACTCACTCCACTGTTGCCTTGACGATAGGCCCAGCCCTGGTCCTGCACTGTCAATTATTCAGTCAGGCAGTTGGACAGCCGCCCATATCGTCTTACCCACTTACCCCAGGATCTACCCACCCCGCTCAGTTCTGAGGTAAGCTTGCATCAGTGCTAATGTATTGGCTCGAGGCACAGTTGCTAAGGACTCGGTTGGCTGCTTTCTTTGCTCAGTCCCAGGCTCCATCCACTGCACAACACTAGCAAAGGCCTTGAATCACTTTAAAGTTTTTTGGGAAACTAAACTAAAGTAAAAGTAAAGTTGTGTTTACAATTGCTGGACTAAAACCCGGAGGTGAATAAATAATCCTGTAAATAATGTTCAAAGTGGTACATGCCCATTACAGAACCAAGTACAGTGTGTACTGTAAACATGTTAAAATATAACAAATTAAAGGGCTAATACACCTAAATACATATTTGTTTCCTTACCCTGTAAACCAGGGGTGTCAAACGTACGGCCCGCGGGCCGGATCAGGCCCGCAAACGGGTTTAATCCGGCCCACGAGATGATTTTGAAAAAAAAAATGAAAAAAAAATATTTTTTTTTATTTTTTTTTGAAGTATAAAAAAGCGCTGCAATTTTTCAATAAAATAAACTGCTGTTCCAATTGCGTCCACTTGATGGCGCAATAGCAATTGTGTTAAGCAAGCAAACTGTTTATACCGGGGCAGAGCAAGTAGGTCAAGCACGTGCAGCCAATGAGCTACTTTGTTTTGCCCGCGATATTTATTACGGCTTCTACTTTTAACATTATGTGCTTTGGCACCCTCATTGCCCCAATATGTCTCTGTCAAAAAAGAGAAAAGTGGACGCAGAGTGCAGAGTGTTCCAAGAAAAATGGTAATCCTATTTAATCACGGAATTGAATGGGAAAGCTGTATGTTTGGTGTGTTCAGAGCATGTTGCAGTGCTGAAAGAATATAACCTTTGTCGCCACTATGTGAGTCTTCATGCCGACAAATATGACAACTTTCAAGGACAGCGGAGATGAGAGAAGGTGAATGAACTGTTGGCGGGTCTGAAGAAACAGCAGTCTGTGTTTACTCACAGCCGAGACATCAGTGACGCTGCAGTGAAAGCTAGCTACCTCATTGCTAATGAAATCACAGTGGCTTCAAAACCATTTAGTGAGGGTGAATTTGTAAAAACATGCATGATGAAGGCAGCGGAGATTGTGTGCCCTGAAAAGCGGCAGGCTTTTGCAAATATCAGCCTGACAAGAAACACAGTTGCAGACAGGATTTCTGATCTTTCAGTGGATTTGGACAGCCAGTTGAAGCAAAAAGTAAAGTCATTTAATTCGTTTTCGGTTGCAATTGATGAAAGCACGGACATTACAGATGTTGCACAACTGGCCATTTTTTCATCCGCGGAGTTGATGACACATTGACCGTCACCGTGGAGTTGGTGCCGATGACAGATACAACGACAGCAGCTGATATTTTTACCGCACTCGTCGGCGCGCTGGACAGGGTCGGAGTGGACTGGTCCCGCGCTGTCAGCCTGGCTACAGATGGTGCGCCCTCAATGATCGGGAAAAAAGCAGGCGTTGTGACAAAGTTCAGAGAGAAAGTGCAATCTGCAAATGGAGGACGTGATTTTTGGACTTTTCACTGTATTTTGCACCAGGAGGCTTTGTGTTGCAAGTCATTAAAGATAGATAACGTCATGAAGGTGTTCATCCAAACTGTTAATTTCATCCGATCCAGAAGCCTGAATCACCGTCAGTTTGACAGCCTTCTCAGAGAGAAAGACCACATCTATGGCCTGCCATACCACACTGAGGTAAGATGGTTAAGCCGAGGTGCTGTGCTGAGGCGTTTCTTTGATTTACGAGAAGAAATTGAACAGTTCATGGAAGAAAAGGGCAAACCAGTGTTAGAATTTCATTCCGCAGAATGGATGCCGGACCTTGCATTTATGGTGGATGTTACAGAGCACCTGAATAACTTGAACAAACAGCTGCAAGGGCGCAACAAAGTTGTCACGCAGTATTATGACAGCATACGTTCTTTCAAGTTGAAGCTGTCATTGTGGGAGACGCAACTTGCCGGTGGTGATGCAGCTCACTTCCTCTGTCTGAAAAATGTGTGCGCGACCCAACATGTGGCAGACATGAAGCGGTTCAAAGATAAAATAACTGGACTGTTACGGGAGTTTGAGCAACGCTTTCAGATTTATGTTTATATGTTTTTATGTTGATGTGCTATTGTTTTTAATTGATTTTATTTTATTTGTATATTTAACCTATTCTTGACTCTGTGGTTCTTGCACTTGTTTGGGGAACAGGATTTCATTATTTTTATCTACATTTCTGCCTGAGAAATGACACCCTGATATAGTTCTGTGATCTGTGAAACAGTTCTGTTAATCACTGAGGCATTGTGTGTTTGTGTGTTCTTTTTCTTTAGAATTTTCAAATAAACTTGACGTGTTTTATGATTAATAGTGATGTTGTGCTTGTACTATTTTGGACACACTGTCCTCAGGCTCCAGCTTTATGTTGTATGTTGATCGTATTAAAACAAAGAAAACAATCTGAAGTTGTTGTTTTTAAGTTATGTATACCATGATTTTTCCGGTCCGGCCCACTTGGGAATAGATTTTCCTCCATGTGGCCCCTGAGCTAAAATGAGTTTGACACCCCTGCTGTAAACAGTCTTTGGACAAAGAGATAGATAAACCCATGCTTTCTTTTGTTTTTTCCTTGGCTGCTGTCACCAATCGTAACCCCAAATTAGCATGTTTGAAATATCCGTTGACAAATTCATTGATATACGCAACCAATGTCAGACACTGGGATGATTTGGGCATGAGATTTAAAACATGCAAATGTTTTATTCTACCCCATCTTTCCCCCCACCCAGATGTCCCAAGGGACTCACCTTGGACGATGAGGAAGACGTGGGCTATGCGGGGTTTGTTGCTGGCCTGGAAGCTGCAGGTGTACAGCCCCTCGTCAGCTACCTCCACTTTCTCTATCTGGATGGAGAAGTCACTAGTGTTACTGTTGACCAGCGACACCCGTCTGTCCAGCGACCACTTGTCTGTCCCCGCAAACAGGATGTTTGAGCGGTTCAACCACGCCTTGTGGGTCACGTCCTCGTCGATTTTACACCTTCGAGATAGAGGGGGAGAAAACAGCGGACAAGACAAGACCCAGATAATTTAATAATAATCATTTCTTAAACTTGTATACCGCTTTTCATTACAGAAAATAATCTCAAAGTGCATAAAAAGCTAAACAAACAAACAACACATTTAAAGTTAGATGGTAGAGATGGATATTGAATGTCTCTATTTGGCTTATGATGAAAGGCTGGGAGTTGAGGCAGTTTGGATTGGAAAGGCAGTGTAGCTTCAGCGGAGGGAGGGGGCATTGATGGTACAGCCAGAGAGAAACAAAGACGGTCTGACAAACAGGCCCGGAGCGCTTCATCAGTGCACTACATCTGCTTCTCCTCCATAGGACCCGCCCCTCCGTAGGTACTGGTCCTCCATTGCCTGGGTGATGCCACAGCTGCTGAAAAGTGCACGAAAAGCCACCACATCTTGGCAGTGGTTAAGAACAATCCCTGAGCCTCTTCTGCCATCTCTGGACACAGCATCCAGTACTTGTTGTGATTCTTCCTGACAGATGAAGCAATAAAGCCGGGGCTGCATTATTTGAATTCAAACAGCCAGTTAGCTAGCTAACTATAAGACAAAAAGATGACTTTTCATCCCAATTCTGCAACTCTGAGAGTCAAGACCGCGAGATGTAAGTGATCAACCCCCACAGCAGACAAACCCAAAAGTAAAAATACAACTAAAAAATGCAACAAAAATTACAAAATGATGTACAATATTTACAGAGCTCTCTGCCTAGGCAACCTCACGGTGCCATGGCAACTATGGAACATACATACCTTGAGGTGAGTCTGTATGTGCTTATGTATGAACAAAGATAGCATAGACATTTTTGAGGAGGAGCGGAAGTGAACCCTGGAACCACAAAGAACTTCTGGTGCGTTTGTAAACAGCTGTTCCATCGCGGCTGTAAACGGCTAGCTAGAAAAGCTAGCTAACTTAGTCTAGTTGTTTTCTCAAGGTCCAATTTATGACTGGGGACAAATCTATTTTTGAAAATGAAAGTTTACAGATTTCCCAAAGAAGCATCACAGCGGGCTGCATTGCCTGCATGGAAAGTAACATTAGCAGCAGGAGGAGGCGGCTCCAGGATGATGTGTAGCACACGGGTAAGTTGTTTATTAAGTTAACCATCTATTCTAGGTAACGTCAGCTAGCTAGCTACATATACATAGGATAGACAGCCAACCAAAATATATGTTTTTTTAATGACTCAAACCAGTGTTGTGTTCGAGACCACCTAAAGTGAGACCGATTCAAGACCAAGACCAGAGCAAATCGAGTCCAAGTCAAGACCAAGACCGGAAGGCGGGCGAGACCGAGTCAAGACCGAGACTGGGAGGTGGACAAGGGGTCCGAGAATGAATCAAGACTGAGACCAGAAAAATGCGAGTTCAATTGAAGACCATGATTGTAATTTTGTCAAATCGCCACCATAATAAGAGTTCAAAATGTCCAGTATTTCTGTGTTCATATTTCAGAAGAACATATGGATTCTTTAGACATTCAAAATTGTGAAAAGATGCATGCTGAGGGCAAATGGAGCCACTCTACAAATTATTACTAACCCAAACACATTGGGGAACAATGAGGGCCTTCTTATAAAATAATAATAATTATGATTCTAAATATATTATTATTTTCAATGATGTTCTGATTTAATCTCTTCAGTTTTTGATGGAAAGGGTTATCACTGAAGATAAAAAAAGATCCAATCAGGATTTTTCTTTGGTGGTCTCTGGGGAAATCTAGCTAGCTAAGTCAGCCATTGGCTAGGCCATCAGAAGCTAGACAGAAGGCATCTGCCATTCAACTGTATTAGGGCAACATTTTGGAGTGACAGTGGAATCAACCAATCACATTTTGACTTGGGTGGGACCGATTTTATAAAAACAACAAATGGAGACTTCTGCCTTCTCAAAGGCCAACAGGTCACTGCGCAATAGTGAACAGTAGTTTTTCCACAGTCTTGCTAGCTATCTTTTGTTGTAGGCTAGTTTGCAGCGGCTGCAGCAGATTTAGCTTCTCCCTTTTCAATAATAACTTTCAACAAGAAGTTAACCTTTTACTGCAGTGAGCTAAATCAGGGTCACACAGAGTGATTCTTGGTAGTCTTAAACAAATCTACTTTCAAACAAAAGTATACACCTCACACACATGGTTATAGGCTTTAAAAAAGACACCTGTACCATGTCAGATATAGAGTTGAAATGTATAATTTTTTTTGTTTGCATCCCAATATTACACTTATATACATCACAGAAGACTGAAATATAACACAACTGTTTGACATAGAAACACCGGATTTCCGTTGTTAATTTTTTTTATAATCTTTATTAATTATGAAAATATGAAAAATATGAAAACATTCCACCCATGAGGCCAAAGAGGGCACTTTTGGTAATTGACTGCAGGAAAGGGTTGTTTCAAATGATCATCATCTGGTGAGTGGAACTGTGTTTTTTGTAATAATGTATTTTTTTGTTTTTGCTCAATAGATTGGGTGGGCCTGGCAAGATGAATGCTGAATTGCACGTCACAAATAGCCTACTAACCAAGATTTCGGACCAAACTTTTTCAATACCTGCTTTGCATACCCATTGTTGCCTTAGTTAGCATTTACTGGTAGAAATCATAAGTTGAAACGTCTTTCATACCTACCCTACTGGCTACCGATGACATTCTTCTGTGAGCTGCTCCATGCCAGTGCATGTGAATATACTTCACATGCTTTGCGATTGTGAAGGCTACTTTGTGCATGATTTCACTATTGTACTACATAATTGATAAGTCGTATACCTCCACTCCACTACTTTGATACTCATCAGTGGGAATTAAGAAGTGAGTATACTGAAAGAAAAGTGGGTATAAGGCATAAACCTGCGTATAGCCTCCACTACACCACTGGGCCTCTGTGTTTTACAAAAAGTGCAAATGAGTGCGCTGGTATTACTGTTGCTGCCTTTTCAGCATCATTATCCTGTCACACACTGAAGGCCTAGGTCCAATAGGTTCGCCACTGCGCAAACATGTCGATATTACAGTCCATTCGGAAAGTATTCAGGTCCCTTCAATTTTTCCATATTTTGTTGCGTTACAGCCTTATTCTAAAATAGATAAAAAATAACAAATCCTCATCAATCTACACACAATACATCATAAAGACAAAGTGAAAACAGGTTTTTTGAAATTTTAGCAAATTTATAAAAAATAAAAAACATAAATACCTTATTCAGACCCTTTGCAATGAGACTCGAAATGGAGCTCAGGTGCATCCTGTTTCTGTTGATCATCCTTGAGATGTTTCTAAGACTTGACTGGAGTCCACCTGTGGTACATTCAATTGATTGAACATGATTTGGAAAGGCACACACCTGTCTATGTAAGGTCCCACAGTTGACAGTGCATGTAAAAGCAAAAACCAAGCCATGAGGTTGAAGGACTTGTCCGTAGAGCTCCGAGACAGGATTGTGTCGAGGTACAAATCTGGGGAAGGATCCCAACAAATTTCTGCAGCATTGAAGGTCCCCAAGAACACAGTGGCCTCCATCATTCTTAAATGGAAGAAGTTTGGAACCACCAAGACTCTTCCTAGAGCTGGCCGCCCGGCCAAACTGAGCAATTGGGGGAGAAGGGCCTTGGTCAGGGAGGTGACCAAGAACCCGATTGTCACTCTGACAGAGCTCCAGAGTTCCTCTGTGGAAATGGGAGAACCTTCCAGAATGACAACCATCTCTGCAGCACTCCACCAATCAGGTCTTTATGGTAGAGTGGCCAGACTAAAGCCACTCCTCAGTAAAAGGCACATGACAGCCCGCTTGGAGTTTGCCAAAACGCACGTAAAGGACTAAGATTCTCTGGTCTGATGAATCCAAGATTGAACTCTTTGGCCTGAATGCCAAGTGTCACGTCTGGAGGAAACCTGGTACCATCCTTACGGTGAAGCATGGTGGTGGCAGCATCATGCTGTGGGGATGTTTTTCAGCGGCAGGGACTGAGAGACTAGTCCGGAATGAGGGAAAGATGAACGGAGCAAAGTACAGAGATATCCTTGATGAAAACCTTGCTCCAGAGCAGTCAGGACCTCAGACTGGGATTCGCCTTCCAACAGGACAACGGCCCTAAGCACACAGCCAAGACAATGCAGGAGTGGCTTCGGGACTAGTCTCTGACAATGTCCTTGAGTGGCCCAGCATAGCCTGGACTTAAACCTGATCTAACATCTTTGGAGAGACTTGAAAATAGCTGTGCAGCGACGCTCCCCATCCAACCTGACAGAGAGGATCTGCAAAGAAGAATGGGAGAAACTCCCCAAATACAGGTGTGCCAAGCTTGTAGCGTCATACGCAAGAATACTCGAGGCTGTAATCGCTGCCAAAGGTGCTTCAACAAAGTACTGAGTAATGGGTTTGAATACTTATTTAAATTTTTTATTTTTATTAATTTGCTAAAATGTCTAAAAAACTGTTTTGACTTTGTCATTATGGGGTATTGTGTGTAGATTGATGAGAAAAAAATACTATTTAATCAATTTTAGAAAAAAGCTGTAACGTAACAAAATGTGGAAAAAGTCAAGGGGTCTGAGTACTTTCCAAATGCACTGTTATTGTCTGCATAATAATACTGTTCAGGTATTAATGTTTCAAGAAAGGAGTGTATATATTTGGCCTGGCGAAGCGGATTTGTGCGCTTACTGAATGGAAGCTGATAGTTTTGAGTTTTTTACTCCGGTGGTCTCGGCTGGTTTCAGGAAGAAATTAAGAGTCCTCACTGTCCGAGACCGAGTCAAGACTGAGTACAAATGTATCCGACAATAAGATAAGACCGAGACACTCAAAATGTGGTCTCGAGACCATTAGCTTGATCTGCTAAAAACAACAAATACACCGTTAAATTATTTACCAATTTAAAGTTTTTTTTTATGTGAACTGTTTGTGAATCCGTTTTTGCCATTGGGCCTGGGCATTAGACTCCAGAGCCCTTTATTGCAGAGTTGGATCACTGAGGTGGTCAGTTTTCAATTTGCTAACACTTATCATGTGGTTTGTGCAGGCTGAAATATGGTGAGTTGGGATGTTATCGGAAACATTGAAATTTGAAACAAGCACGGTAACAAGCATTCGTTGTTACATCCATGTAATTACAGACTGCAATTACCACCAGTTACATGTTGTTAATACAGTGTAACAATGAATTATTACAATTAATTAGAATACTTGTTACAGTGTAATTACATATGTAATTACACTTTAATAAGGACCCCTTAAAATTAAGTGTTACCTCCTTTTTCATTAGACATTAGTTACATGCATCATGAAATCGATTAGTGCATCCCCTACCCTTGTAATGAAGGTGGGCCTTAAAGTTGCAATATGCAGAAATTGCACCGCCAAAAAGTTACATATTGCAGCTTTAAGGATGACATGCACAGGAGAGAGACATTACTAGCAAATACCACTATCATGAGGGTGTGCAGAAAATAATATTTTACGGTTAATTTGATTTAATTTCAAAATACATGTTGATCATCCTGTTGTAATGTGCAGTTCAATATTATCACCACAAAGTGTCAGCGCTAGCATTTGTATTATAGTTTCGTTTTACTACATGTAAACAAACCACTAGCTAGGTCTTGTAATGTAACGTTGATAATACATACCTAGCACAAGGTAGCTGTTCATAAAAAATACAGTATGTTTCTTAATTGAAACTAACTGGGCAATACACCTGGGTAAAATATAGTTCCGTTTGGAGGAAGCAGGTGAAGAGCTAGGAGTGACAGATTGGTGAGGGGGGAGAGAGGGGCTGATAGTGGTAATTACTGCTGCTACCTAACTTTTGATGTTTACAATGTGGCCTTCAAACATTGGACTCGTATGCTAGCTACATTTAGTTTAGTTATATTGTTGGCTGTCGTGAGAGAAATTCATCTATCTAACTGGCTATCGAGGTATGCTGATCTTCCCCTACCTTCACATCACGCTAGCTCTGTGGTTATTTGCTGTGCTAGCCAAATGTAGCTAACACCACCAGAGCATATGGATAATAAACGGGAAATAAATGTTTGACGATTTTGTTTTGTGGATCTGGTAGCAACAAATCAATGTGTGTTTATAACTCATTTGTTCGTTTTTTTGGTTTGATCAAGAAATATGAACTTGTCAATTAACTAGCTAGCTATCTATTATGGCGTGCTGCAGTGCAGGATCCCACTGTGCAGATGTTAATTCAACGTCTATTTCAAGTATAATTTAAATGACGTGGAAACAACGTTGATTCAACCAGTTTGTGCCCAGTGGGATGTTTCTGGTTGAACCTCTTGGTTGCGCGTGCACATATAATGTGGTATTGTTTTAACATTTGAAAAGGTCTAGATGATAGAATAATTATTAATGACTAATTATTACACCCTGAAACTGTGTGAAATGTGTTAGAATGTGTGAGTGTAGGACCAGTAAAGATTATGACATTGAGCTACTATTTAGCAATGTGAGTAAGATTTAGACCAGACAACAAAGGACAAGGAGAACTGTCTACAGACAACTGAGAAACCAAGATAAAGAGGCCTCCCAATTTAGGGAGGAGAGAAACGGTTAGGCTTTTTAAGGAGTATGAGGACAGCGATAACTACGGAATGCATGTGTGTGTATGTATGTGTGTGTGTATGCATGTGTGTGTGTGTGTGTGTATGTATGTGTGTGTGTGTGTATATGTGTGTGTGTGTGTGTGTGAACTGATGGTCAGGAGAGCAGTTTTAAAGTTGAAAACTACAGCCCGTCTAAAGAGGGGGGATTTTTGTATGACGTGTGAGTATAAAAGATGGACTCTGAAATTGTGATGGCAGAATTCTCAATGAATAAATCTCTGACTATGCAGACCGGGACTCTGTCCGTTTCTTGATTTTGGGAGACGCACAGAGACACTGAAATAGTTTGTTAAATAATTCACATAACAGCTTGGTCCTTCTGAGCCGGAATCCAATACCTGCCTCTGTCATTCCAGGTAACTCTGAAAACCGTCGACGGGCGAATGATACATTCGTAAATAGAAAGTCCTGCCCTTTGACATTAAGGGTTTAGACAGGCCAGAGGACACCTGATTAATGACAGAGACGGTGACGGAATCCAAGCCTACATTGAATCTCGGCTGCAAGGATAAGGTCAGTAGTCTTTATTCATTAATTGGGGCAGTCTGGGATTGCTCAGGGTGGGTCCGTAACGATTCACGGTAATAGGCCATTACCAAAATAAACTACCCTGCATTCAGTGAACCTGTAGTAGATTATAGAACAGTAATGTTCAACAAATAATCCGGGATAAAGAAATACAGGGAGGGGTGTGAAGTGAAGAGAGTGTTAATATAATTGACGGTTAAGATCACTAGGAGATCTCTGTTGTACAGTGGGGAAAAAAAGTATTTAGTCAGCCACCAATTGTTTAAGTTCTCCCACTTAAAAAGATGAGAGAGGCCTGTAATTTTCATCATAGGTACACGTCAACTATGACAGACAAAATGAGATTTTTTTTCTCCAGAAAATCACATTGTAGGATTTTTACTGAATTTATTTGCAAATTATGGTGGAAAATAAGTATTTGGTCAATAACAAAAGTTTCTCAATACTTTGTTATATACCCTTTGTTGGCAATGACACAGGTCAAACGTTTTCTGTAAGTCTTCACAAGGTTTTCACACACTGTTGCTGGTATTTTGGCCCATTCCTCCATGCAGATCTCCTCTAGAGCAGAGATGTTTTGGGGCTGTCGCTGGGCAACACGGACTTTCAACTCCCTCCAAAGATTTTCTATGGGGTTGAGATCTGGAGACTGGCTAGGCCACTCCAGGACCTTGAAATGCTTCTTACAAAGCCACTCCTTCGTTGCCCGGGCGGTGTGTTTGGGATCATTGTCATGCTGAAAGACCCAGCCACGTTTAATCTTCAATGCCCTTGCTGATGGAAGGAGGTTTTCACTCAAAATCTCATGATACATGGCCCCATTCATTCTTTCCTTTACACGGATCAGTCGTCCTGGTCCCTTTGCAGAAAAACAGCCCCAAAGCATGATGTTTCCACCCCCATGCTTCACAGTAGGTATGGTGTTCTTTGGATGCAACTCAGCATTCTTTGTCCTCCAAACACGACGAGTTGAGTTTTTACCAAAAAGTTCTATTTTGGTTTCATCTGACCATATGACATTCTCCCAATCCTCTTCTGGATCATCCAAATGCACTCTAGCAAACTTCAGACGGGCCTGGACATGTACTGGCTTAAGCAGGGGGACACGTCTGGCACTGCAGGATTTGAGTCCCTGGCGGCGTAGTGTGTTACTGATGGTAGGCTTTGTTACTTTGGTCCCAGCTCTCTGCAGGTCATTCACTAGATCCCCCTGTGTGGTTATGGGATTTTTGCTCACCGTTCTTGCGATCATTTTGACCCCACGGGGTGAGATCTTGAATGGAGCCCCAGATCGAGGGAGATTTTCAGTGGTCTTGTATGTCTTCCATTTCCTAATAATTGCTCCCACAGTTGATTTCTTCAAACCAAGCTGCTTACCTATTGCAGATTCAGTCTTCCCAGCCTGGTGCAGGTCTACAATTTTGTTTCGGGTGTCCTTTGACAGCTCTTTGGTCTTGGCCATAGTGGAGTTTGGAGTGTGACTGTTTGAGGTTGTGGACAGGTGTCTTTTATACTGATAACAAGTTCAAACAGGTGCCATTAATACAGGTAACGAGTGGAGGACAGAGGAGCCTCTTAAAGAAGAAGTTACAGGTCTGTAGATTACTGATGGTAATTGAAGGTTAACAAAATGTATAATTTCTCTTCCAGGAGAAAGAGATTCGCTTATCTTATTGGAATATTGCCCAGGGATAGGGGGGGCGGTTTAGTGGAGTTAGGCAGTATTTAGGTCGTAAAAGTGAGCTACCAAATTAAGTGGGGTCTGGCTATTTTTGGTTGTTGTTTTTCAATTGGGTTTTTAAATTAAAAACAACACACCTAGTATGATGTTTAGAAAGGGTTGTTATTTCAATTTTAGGGGTTTTTCAACAGGTCAAAGGTGATAAGTCTTAAAGGAGCACACACAGTGAATTTTATGGAGTTTTTCGGTTTTGACTGAGTTTAGGGTTTACATGATTTCTTATGAGAATAAATGTCATGAGGACTTAATGAACACTTGGGATAAGTAACATTTATGAAATATTTAGGATGATGGTAATGTTTAGTATACTATGGGATGGAACAGTTCGTTGAATGATTTCAATGGCCTCTGAACTCTGTTTTGACTTTCTTGTGTTAATTGATCATCCACAGATAGTTTATTTTACCAAGTTGAGGGTAATTTATAGTTCTGTGAAAAGTGTGAAGAAATTTATAATTTGGTAATAATATTTATGATTCGAACCATAAAATAACAGAAGAGAGAGAGAGAGCTTTCCCTGAATGAGGGATACCTGTTGCTAGTAAATTGTACTAATCTTGGATTACTTTTACGGGATAGAAGTAAGATGAGGTATTATCAAATGTTGTCAGCAGGATTAAAACACTTCTCTGGTCCCAGTCAGCTGTCAAAAGAGGAAGTTTCAATAGATAGAGATCTACTTATAGAGAGCCACAGTAGGGCCCCAATTAAGGAAGTTTACAGATGGGTGAAGCAAGGCGCAGTAAATAAGGAAGGAATATGACAGCTTACCAATTCTCCCGAAATTACTGTTTAGATATGCTGCAATATTGACACACGGGCAGAGCCATGTGTCAACGGGAGGGAGGGATGGTAGAGCAAATTAGACAACACTTTGTTGCATATGGGATTACTAGTTATAAAAATAAAGAAATAATTAAATTAAAACTTTTGTTCAAGATGTGTTATCTGTGCTCAAAATAATCACCAGGGCAGACAAAGGGCACCTCAGGGTCAGTATCCTCCGGCTAAGTACCCCTTCCAGCAATTGGAAATTGATTTTATAGACTTATCACAGAGTGAAGGGAATAAATTTAGAGTAACCCCAGATAAAGATGGGTTATCCCCCTTTGAGAAAGTGTTTGGAAGACCTTACAGAATGCCACAGTTGGCAGAACCAGAACAGGCAGACATAGAACTAGAGAATACACTAGCAAAACACATGAGAAAATTGTTAGTTAACCGTATGTCTAAGAATTTGTGTCCTACAGGAGAATTAAAGGAGAATGTGATTCATAGTATATAACCTGGAGACTGGGTGTGGATCCAATCGTTGAGGAAAAAGGATTGAAAGCACCCACGCTGGGAGGGACCATACCAAGTCCTATTGGTAACTGCCTTCGCTATAAGAATAGCTGAGAGAGCCACTTGGGTCCACGTTACCCACTGCAAAAAGGTAGGCCCACATACCAGCACCGTTGAACACACACAGAGTTAAAGAGAAGAACTGACCCACTAGGGTTCGGGGGTAAACTCTGTTAACGAAGAAACCCTACCCCGACCTTTCATCACTGTGGGGTGTTTATAGAGGTGTGGGTATGGGGAAGTACCAGGCAGATGGGTCAGGGACAGGATTGGGATGGCGGTTTTTGGGATTTTGGGGGACTCTGAGCTGCATCATCATGTTAACCATATTATGGATTAATCCAGGTCAACCTAAACAGGGAAATTATGAACAAAATAATACCAAGGCACTGATTCGATCTCGTAGAAATACTGAAACCAAGAAAGACTATTGGGGGAATGATTATTTTATAGTTAACGTCAGTTTAGGACAAGATGGGGGATTCAAGAGAGCATTCGACTTATCCCATGAAGAGATAGGAGGTTTTGGGGGCTTTGGTAAGAAGGGGGCGTGTACAAGAAAGTTAGGTCCTAGAAGGTATGGTAAATATATTTGCACTGGGGAACGCTCATGTCCTTGGGCAAGGGTGTTTAAACATACCTGGGGAACATCCTATGAGAATGGGATGGACGCAGTACACCGATGGGGAATTAAACAAACCCATGATAAATGTAAAATGGAACTGGTGATAACGGTAAAGTCCATTATACAAGATGACATAGCAAGGAACTATTGGGCCTGTGTTGATGATTTTGGGGCAGATATATGTTTGAGGTTCATTTTTCAGGAGAGAAATGAATCTTCCACCCCCGAGACAGAACAGCAGGTAGATCTAATGTTATCACCAGAGGTACCAAAAACTAGTCTAATACACCTTGGAAGGCCCTCAGAAGGAATCCTAAAAAGCACTAAACCACCAAGGGTAGAATAGTTCCTCTTGCAGGAAATGAACCAAGGAGAAGTAGAAGGAATTTCAAATGAGAACTTCTGGGTAAGGTGAATGAACTACACAGCTAGGGTGTTGGGTCAAACTAATTGTTATGCCTGTTCAACAGGTAGGCCAACCCTTCTAACTGCACCTATGCCTCAGACAATGTTCTCTTGTGTGATAGATTTGGGATCAAACCAAACCTCACCTAATTGTTCTGATATTAAAATAACCACTCTTAAAAAGGATAATATTAAGGCACCCCAATTCACCATGACCCCCTGAGATTATCAATGTTATAGACACCAAAGTAATGTGAATCACAGATCAAATTGGAGAAGGGTTTACAACAACGTTTTTCTGGTGGGTTACAATTGATAAAAATGTTGACTGGATTAATTACATCTACAAAGGTTTGTTAATTAGACAAGGGATGCAGTGAAGAGAATCTCAGGCCAACTATCCGCCACCTCACTCATGACCTGCAGAATAGTTTGGTTCTCGAAATGCTTTTAGCAGAGAAGGGCGGATTTACAAGATGGTGGGAGGTCATTGTTGTATGTTTATCCCCAACAATACAGCCCCAGATGGTACAGTAACTAGAGCACTGGCAGGTCTCACTGCATTGAGTAAAGAATGGGCTGAGAACTTGGGGGTGAATACATCAATGACTGGTTGGTTTGATAACATGTTTGGTAAATGGAAAACTATTGTTGTAACTATTTTAGGCGCGGCAATCGCGTCTATGGGTATGCTTGTTCTTTGTGGATGTTGTCTTATTCCCTGTGTCCGAGGGTTGGTGAGCAAGGCGTTGGAGTATGCAGTTTCCCAACAGATGGTGAGATACGGCCCAATCCCTGACTCCGACCTAAGGAATGAAGAATATGACCCACCAGGCTTGGTGGAGGACGACGACGATTCAGATAGTTTGAGACTGGATGTTTTCCTAGAACTATAAATCTCTAGTTTAAAAGTTATTGTAATGATCTTTTGTGTATTAAAGTCTTGTTTTAAGTATGATGTACTAGTTAACCGATGTTGCAGGATGTGATGAAGCAAATGTTCTTCACTATAGGCTTAGACTGTTGTTTCCAGATAGTGGGTAAACAGGTTAGGTACCATTGCTAAAGAGTAACGTTACACTTTTAATCATGGGGTAACCCTGATGAACCTGTATTGAATGAGACATTTTTATATGCAAATCAACTTATATGCTTCAATGTGTGTGATTCATTTCTATAACAACATATCTTTTGTGAGTATGTGTGTAATATTTAGTCAGAGGGTGGATTGATAGAATAATTATTAATGACTAATTATTACACCCTGAAACTGTGTGAAATGTGTTAGAATGTGTGAGTGTAGGACCAGTAAAGATTATGACATTGAGCTACTATTTAGCAACGTGAGTAAGAGTTAGACCAGACAACAAAGGACAAGGAGAACTGTCTACAGACAACTGAGAAACCAAGATAAAGAGGCCTCCCAATTTAGGGAGGAGAGAAACGGTTAGGCTTTTTAAGGAGTATGAGGACAGCGATAACTACGGAATGCATGTGTGTGTATGTATGTGTGTGTGTGTATGCATGTGTGTGTGTGTGTATGTATGTGTGTGTGTGTGTGTATATGTGTGTGTGTGTGTGTGTGTGAACTGATGGTCAGGAGAGCAGTTTTAAAGTGGAAAACTACAGCCCGCCTAAAGAGGGGGGATTTTTGTATGACGTGTGAGTATAAAAGATGGACTCTGAAATTGTGATGGCAGAATTCTCAATGAATACATCTCTGACTATGCAGACCGGGACTCTGTCCGTTTCTTGATTTTGGGAGACGCACAGAGACACTGAAATAGTTTGTTAAATAATTCACATAACACTAGAGTAGATTAGTAATAGTTTTTCAGAACTGTCTGGTATAAGCTCAAGCAATTTAGACTGGGCAAGTTCATTCCAAGTGAAATCTCCACCTACATGTACCCCAGGCACCGTGTAATGGAAAACAAACTCGCCCACTCTTTTGACTACTATCCTTTCTTTAATATACTATTACCTCACAAGACCATCTTGAAAACCAGATTTTATCTCAATGCAACTAACCTGGATATATACACTGAGTGTACAAAACATTAGGAACACCTTCCTAATATTGAGTTGCACACCCTTTTGCCCTCAGAACAGTATGAAAATGTATGCACTCACTAACTGTAAGTCGCTCTGGGTAAGAGCGTCTGCTAAAATGACTAAAAAAATAAATAAAAATAAATAAAAAAATAGAACAGCCTCCATTTTCTGGCCCATGTTGACTCCAATGCTTACCACAGTTGTGTCAAGTTGGCTGGATGTCCTTTGGGTGGTGGACTATTCTTGATACACACGGGAAATTGTTTAGCGTGAAAAACCCAGCAGCGTTGCAGTTCTTGACACACTCAAACCGGTGAGCCTGGCACCTACTACCATACCCCGTTGAAAGGCATTTAGATATTTTGTGTTGCCCATTCACCCTCTGAATGGCACACATACACAATCCATGTCTCAATTGTCTCAAGGATTAAATATCCTTATTTAACCTGTCTCCTCCCCTTCAGCTACACTGATTGAAGCAGATTTAACAAGTTACACCAATAAGGGATCATAGCTTTCACCTGGATTCACCTGGTCAGTCTGTCATGGAAAGAGCAGGTGTTCCTAATGTTTTGTACACTCAGTCTATATGTACATATCAATACAAATATTATTTTGAGTTTGGAATGTAATTTCTCTCAGTTTCTGAACTAGAAATGTTTGGTGACAGTATGACTGAAGTACTGTCCTTCACCACTAGATGTCCTTACAAGCTTCAGCTGGGGACAAGGCCAGGAGAGGATAAGCCTGAGTGCTTATGTTTAATTGATGTGGCCAGGGTAAAAAAATCTCTGTGAGGTAGATCACACGGCCTCCAGTGAATAGGTCTCATCTGTGCCAGTGATATTGCCTTTAATTGCCCATGCAATGAACAGGTGAGCCTGTAAGTATGAAAGGGCATCATATATCAACTAAAGGAGCCTGTGGCGGTCTATGGTTCTAGGGCTAGGTAATATGAGGTGACAGTGATGGTGACCAGATTTGGAATGACACCTGACAGTGGGTTTAATAGTTCAAATGTTCATATACAGTAGGCCTTTATGAAGGCCTCAAAGTCCAGGATATTGACAAAATGGCTATTTTGCTGAGGAACATTTTTCAACCTAGTTGGGGTATACCTCATGGGGTTTCTATGACAGTGAATTGGCAATTAAGTCAGCATGATGACAGGTAAAAAACAAAACAATTTGAACATGTAATTAGTCAGTGCAGGTGTAGGATCAAAGAGTTACCTCAGAATGACGCTCTCTCCTTCCAGCACTGTAATGTTGTCGGGCAGTTGGCCGAATTCGGCTCCATGCACACTTGGCCCTGCCAAGGAAAATGAGAGAAGAGAGGGAGGAGGGTGAGCATAATGCCGTTATAACAACAACAGACGGTCCATTCACATTCTCAATCCCCCAATCCCCTGGTTGGCATCTCAGCCACCGCGGTGCTGAGTACCTCATCGATCCAGGTCAGGCTGGATGTGTTTGGCGGTTTACTTAGTTATTTGTGACGGGAAAGTAATAAATATACAAACACAGGTGTTGTAACGTATTCACTGACCCCCTGTATTATTTAAATAATGATATGGTTTTGCCCCCCCCCCACCCCGGTTGTGTGTTTGTGTGTGTGTGTATGTGTGTCTCATTGAACAGTGTTGATAATGAGCCGGGGGAAGAGGAGGATTCACACAGGGGCGTCAGAGCGTGAAATGAAGGTACACCAACGGCAACAGGAGGGATGCGTATAGTGTGGCTCATCCTGCTTGCAAATACACGCACACACACCAAGACAGTCACACAAGTGCACGCAAACACACACAAGCTGAAAGATACACACAACCACAGGCATTAAACTAAATGGAAAACTGGGGTCTATGAAAATGCCCTTTTTGTTTCAAATGTAACCAGAACCATGCATAATACACATTCACTAATAATGACTAACTTTATAGACAATCTCTCAAGCACAAGCCCACGTGCTAGTGAGTAGCCAGCTAATCTTTATATTTCAAGTTTAGCCAACTTGGATCTATTTGCTAGATAACAAGGTAGAACAGTTGAATGGTCATGAACACATCCTTCTGTCCGTCTCCAACTGTTTGAACAGCATGCTAGCGTGTCCACTTTGTTTTATGCTTATTGCACAATTATAAAACACAGACTAGACTTCTAGTATTACAGTCTTTGGCTAAAATGCTACTAGGGGTACATGGTACCGCAATGCCACGCGTGACAAACTGAGCATTGATTTTCCAGAATCAATGTTCATTGTACTCCCGTTTTAGTAGTGTCAGCTCTGCACGCAATTTGAGGAGTTGAGACCTAAAAAGGGAATCATTAGAAAGGTTAACTTCTCTTCTATTACAGTAAAATAATGTCTCAATGTGTTTTGGTGTCCATATGACTGATTCCTCAAATGCAAATAGCGAGTTGAAAAAATAGTGTGTGATTGCAGCCAGCAATTCGTGGAATTCCTGCATGTGGAACGCCTCGAGCATCCCACTGGTTCCTGCAATCGAGCACGCCATCTTTATGCTAGTGTGACACTTTTGATATTCTGGATTCCCCCTGATTCTCTATGCGATTAAAATGTGGGTCAAGAGGGAAATAAAAGTATTATCAGAATTTTTCGGGGGCGAAGGACACTGTCTACCGATGACCTAGCTAGTTAGCTACTGACGTCGCCCCCACTTCCCACCTGCTGTGTACCGGAGTCCTCCTAGCTAAATAGCTAGCACACAGTGTCCTTTGCTCCCACTCGCCGAAGACCTGCCCTCGCCGTCGTTAACAGCACTGTGGGAAAGCAGTGCCTGACAGGTGGGGTCGAAGGACACTGTCTACTAGTGTCCTAGCTATTGTTAGCTAGCTAGCTACCTATCCAGCCTGCTGTGTACTGGAGTCCTAGCAAAATAATGTACCTATAGAAGTATAAAGAGGAGTTCCTGCAGATGCAGGAATTAGGTTTGGGGCGGTATACCATATATACCGTATACCGGACTGGGGTATTTGTTTGGAAATTTGCCACAGGATGGTTTTCCAATACCGTCAATAACTTTGAAACTATTTCTTATTTCTTAGAAGTTTTTCTATACATTTTAATATTTGTAGCTACTAAGTAGCTAAGTAAATACTTGTGTGTGTGATTGCAGCCAGCAATTCGGGGCATTCCTGCATGTGGAACGCCTCGAGCATCCCACTGGTTCCTGCAATCGAGCACGCCATCTTTATGCTTGTGTGACACTTTTGATATTCTGGATTCAAGTCAACTTGTGCAATATGTTAGAAGATAAAGCAGATTGCGTTCTTCATTTCACCTGTCACATTATTTTATTTTACATTATGAAGCTTACCATAGTTCCTCAGAACAGTTGAGCCAATCACATGTTTGTTTGTAAATACAACAAATGGAGAAAGTGGGAGCAGGTGAGTCCAGCTGTGTGTTGACAGCGGTAGCATTTTATATTGAAAGTCAACAGTGTTTTTTTGCTTCAGTGATCAGGGACGTGCAACTACAGTTTTCCTTCACAGAAAATACATTAGTGCAACACATTCGGCAGAAAATAGCCTCATTTTCATCAGATGACAACAGAAGTGCAACACTATTTGGCTGGCAGCTACACAAGTAGGCTAAATGAGCTTACAAGGAAAAAGCCATGTCTTTTTGCTGAAACTATGCATGGCCATCACATGTCTGTTTATCATAGAAAGAATGTAGCCAGCTACATTTCCTAATGTTTTTCTTAAAGTTAATCTTGCATTTTACTGGAGAAAAGTAGGCTGGCTACACCTAGAAAAGTACCAGAGAAAAGTAGCTACAATCATCAGTGCGTGTCTGCTGATAGAATGTCAGTGAATTCTCATCCAGATTGGAGAAGTGCAACTGAAGCACAAAATTAGTCTGATGCGAGCAGAAATTCCAATAAGAAGCATTTTAGATCTGCGTTTACAAAACGCAGCAAGATATTTCTTATGCATTGTATATATTTTTTTCCTGCGTGAAAAACAAAGAATTCTGCATTAACACGACCCCTAAGTTTAACTTGCTAGTTATCTAAGTAAGTGGCTGAATTAATAAGGTGACGGGGCATCATATTGTGTTGGCTTTCTGCTGTGTTGGAGAAGAAAGAGCCCTTTGGATGAGTTATATGTACTGCTGCCACTGCTATTTTTTGATTTCCTTGCATTTTTTCTCCTCTCCATTCTCGGCCCGTCTGCTCCTACCCATCTTCTCGAGCAGTGCAGGCAGGCCTGTTACCCTAGCAACTCCAGACTCCTCACAGACACAGTGTGTATGCTACTTCAGAGCTAGTACTGTACTGTCTCTCGTTCACATTCGCTTGTAAATGTCCAAACTCACCAAAAATGACATTCGGTAGCTCCGACCTATATGTATAACTTTATGAGCTGGACTGCCTGTCTTTGCATTTTTTATTTTTTTTTTGCGCTCGTTAGCATATTTAGCTAGCAGCCTCCATGGAAATTCGCTATTATTTGTGCTCATTTTGTTAGAATTCTGGTAATAGACACCCAATGGGCTTTTTTTTCTCTGGTTTTTGGGCGCCCCCTTGTGTACTAAGCCGGTAATACCATAAATCCTGGGATGAGAGAAGGACAGTATGACGATATGAAAATCTGATACCGCCCAACCCTAGCAGGAATGGCCAAATGCAGGAAAGCCCCAAATTGCGGGCCACAATTGCACCCTTCTCAGTTGAAACTGCTTGTCAGAGAGGAAGAAGTGATCTCTCATCTTTGTTGTTGTGAGTGTCAGTGGGAGGAGCTTGGTGTGTGTGTGTGTCAATGGCAAGTTGCACACAGCATAGAAGGAGCGAAGGAGATGAGCGGACATAAATGCTCATAAAAAAAATAAAAAAATGTTTTATTGTGATACAGGCATTTGGAATATCATGCTAAAACATACATTCAAATTAATTGAATTCATTCTATATATCGCCTAGCCCTAAAGTGCTTATATTTTCAAAATGACTAGGCTACAGTACTGTTGAAGCTTTCCCTCCTTGAATTATATTTTAGACATTTGCATCAACTGACTCTGCAAACAAAGATAACAGCAGCCATACAGCGCTATCTTAGCAGTGACATCCTGAGGCAGGTCTATACTCAGCATGACGCCAGCTCTGTGCCTCCAAACTCTGCCAAATGTCAGCATGCGCATCAAGTCTACCCTTACGGTGCCCATGTTAGGACACCCTCACTGTCTGAGGGTCATGTCTAAATTTAGCATTTTAGCTAACCCTAACCCTTTTCTTAACCTTAACCTAATTCTCCTAACCTGTTACGTTAATTTTCCTAACCTGCTGCGTAAGTTTTCCTAAATCTGTCACGAAAAGTCAATTTTGACAAAAGCTTTATCCCTTCTAGACAAAACCCTGTCTGAGTCCTCGCTAGATCTTCAACCAATCTCCTCTATCTCTTTCCTAACGTGTCCATAATATCTCTATGCTGCTGCTGCTGCTGTTGCAGTCTTGCCTCGAAGGTTTAATAAACAGTGTCTTATGAGAAGAAACGCTGTGCAGTCAGGAGTTAAGAAGAACCTGGAGGTTGGTCTGTTTAATGCAAAGAGGTGCGCTAAGACAATACGCGCTAAGCTTGCCAAGTGTAATTCCAGGCAGAGAGGGGTCTGAAACGTGACAGTTGGAAGCAGTGCAGCATCTGATGGCCAATTGCTCACACTTTTAATTTCAACACAGGCTCTTGGTGGAATCATGGCTTGATTGCACAGTGTAATGAAAAGGTGCAGGCATTCTAATTCGTGTCACGGTCTCATAAACAAATGGCAAAAAAAAAGTGAATCTAATTATGCATGGAAATGACGGTCAATGGAATTGGTAAATTAAGAGATGTATTTTTCCTAAGTATTGAAATGAATACAAAGTCTAAACAGAGTAATACTAATACGTTGAATATGAGTGTGTGTGTGTATGTGTCTGAAGGTCCACCATTTTTCAGGGTCATTTGAGACAGTTATTTTGTGTGTGCTCATGTACAGTGTGTTTGTGTGTGTGTGTGCCCAGTATGTGTGCACCTGCTTTAAGTGTGTCAGTCACCAGCAAGGACAGGCCATCCCACAGTGAGAACTTGAAAGATGGAGAGGGATGGAGAATGTCCCTGAAAATCCTCAGCTAAAAGCCATAATCACATTAGCGTGCTGCTTGCTGCTTGCTGCTGTGCTATCTAGGCTGGCCAAGAAACCCAGGAAGGAAGCACACACTGGCTGCATCAGCATCACTACCACTCACTGTGACTGTCCCTCTCACTGCATGGGGGAGGGGAGACATTAGTCATTGTGTCCAATGTACTGTATAACCAAGGCCTAGGAAATGTCACCAGCGGTAGGTGTTTGTTAAAGGGCAACTGAATGCAAAATTCATCTGGTTGAAAATGTGGCATCGATATTAGTCAGAAACACAAAAAAGTGTAAGTAGAATAATTTTGGTCATAAAGTCAGTATATTCCAAAAATAGTTTTGTGAGATTTGTGTAACTGAGGTCGTCAGAACTTACATGAGGGTTGGGTTTGGATTACAATCATGCCCACTTGCCCACAAACACGGGATTGTAACGCCTAGGGAGAATTGTCATGCATGGAAAAATAGCTGCGCTGATTGCGCTCTAGCCAATCATGGCAGCAGAACATCCAGACAGTGAGACAGACCTGCACATTACGCAGTGCCTATATCCTATATCCTTATTTATCCTATAATAATTCTGACTATTTTGAGGAAGTGGTAGTGGCTATGTTGTTGCTACTGTGACTCAAGAGGGACAAACAACAGTAACTGCCAGTGAACATAACACACCCACATCGAACCACACCCACAAGACTGAAATCTTGTTTTTCTTATGACCAGCAGAAAATCAGATGCAGAATTGGTGAGTTAAGCCGCTCTTTAAGGTTATTTCTATGAAACAACCTTGGATATACTGTAACCAATACCATGCTTTGTGCACGTCCCACACTGCACAGTAGGCTATAATGTTACTGTGCGTCCTCAGTTGTTCTTTCTTAGTGCACTGCACTGTACGCTTTATTTAGGTTAATTTAATTCAGTACCCGGGCTCGGCTCAAAGGCAGGTGGGACACATGCTAGAGCACACACACACACACACACACACACACACACACACACACACACACACACACACACACACACACACACACACACACACACACACACACACACACACACACACACACACACACACACACACACACACACACACACACACACACACACACACACAGACAACACACACACACACACACACGATGTATGCATAAGCTGGCACCTGAAAACAACACGGCGAAGGTTACACACCAGAGGGCCGCTATTCCCTATTCCCAACTCAATTCCCATTTTTACAACTCAATTAGCACCTGGATTCTAAAACCTGTATCACCCTGCCTTTACCCTCCCTCACTGCACACGGTGTTAACCAGGTCAACATACACAGCCCACACTTACTCACAGTCACACTCACCCACAGCCATGTGTATAAGTACACACAGATACACACAGAAACAGAGTCAGTTATCGACACAAGGGAAACACACACAGTCAGTCATCCACAGCTCAAATAAACATAAACCTGTGCACACACTGCCCTTACACTCATTCATGCATACACACCATCGCAACCCTTGTCACCTCTGTCAGTCATGCAGTGACTATGCGTGCAGCGCATAAAGGCTGCCACTTTGACCTTGGTAGGGGATGAAGGGCATCACATCGGAGATGAGGAGCTAAAGGGGTGTGTGTGAGTGTCTGTGGTGTCTCACCACTGGACAGTTGGATGTGCAAAGTCAGGGTCTTGTCAATTCAAATATGATGGGGGGGACGTAGGACAGATGACAACATAGAGTGAAAACACCTGCTAGACTGCACACGCCCGCCACCCTTCAACATTAATGACACAGAGAGAGAGAGACAGAGAGAAAGAGAGAGAGAGATGCAGCAGTACAGGTAGAGAGATCGAGAGATCGAGAGAGAGAGAGAGAAAGAGAAGCAGCAGTATAGGTACAGAGAGAGAGAGAGACAGAGAGAGCGAGAGAGTGAGATAGTGAGTGAGAGAGGGAGGAAGACACAGGGAGCTAGGGAGAGGAGCTAGAGAAGTGGATGTAAGGGAGAGGAAAAGCCTTGAGCCAGCATACAGAACTGTACTGAGAGTAAACAGACAAACAACCTTCTGGCATTGTGTTGGAAGATGAAGTGTAGTCGTTTTTCTCCCTCTCAGGTGCAGGATTGCAAGATTCCTCCATGGTGCATGAGAGTGCCAGTGTGTCTGCATATTGAATTTTGCCCAGCACCACGTCTACTACAGATAGGGACGATCCCGGCTGTCTCTCGTCCTTGATGTGACCCAGCTTTTTGGCTTCCGATCAGCACCACACACACTCGGACGCACACACAGAAGCACAGATGCACGCACAGACGCACACGCACGCTCACACACACACACGTACACCCATCTCCCTGTCCAAATGTCCGTATTCCACAGCATAGGTCCTCATCAGGACTAAACACAGCCTGAGGACCAGATTTAATATTCCCTTTCCTTAGTAAAAAATGTTTCACCTGTTAGACAACACAGAATTCAGAGGGGAATATACAAAACCTAAGCTAAACCATGGGGCAGTCTTTATGAATACTTTATACATTTGCTTTATATCTTTATTTTCTACCCTGTTTCATTCCCCCTAGATAATAATAGCTACCATTTTTGCAATAGACTACAGCAAACACTTGAACATTAAACACTCAACCTGGCCCATAGTCCTCCATGTCCATCCAAACACACTCTGTGCTTTCTTCCTACGCACTCCTCCTGCTTTGTGTGTCATCTCTGAAAACGCTCCAGGGCCTTTTTCCACAGGCCCCACGAGACATTCATTTCATGATTTGTATTCTGTTGACTTTTACATGCACCCCTTTGTAATTGGACTTGCTGCTGGAGCTAACTTATGAACCATCGCCCGATTGAAGCGCCAGTCAGTGCACTAGCCTGTAGAGAGTCTGTGTAGTCTACATCTATTTCCCGTTGCCCTTGACGATCAAAGAAAAACATTGGGAGAAAGAAAACTTTTGAAAGCATGGGGCGTCAAGGAGGATAACAGGCAAATGAATTAATAAAGAATTGCACAACAATAATCAGTTTAACAGAAGCTTGGTTTGAAAGGGAGGGACAAATTGAAAGGGAGAAGGAGCGAGGCAAAGAGCGAGAGATGGAACGCAAAAAAATAAAGAGCTAGTCACTCCAAGCGAGCAGCGGCTCCGGCGAGGGTTTGTCCACAAAGGGAGATGTCAAGAGAGAGCAACAGTGGTAGAATAGATAGAGAAGACGGAAATTGAGTTTCCTATCTGAGAGAGAGCGATTGAGCAAATGAAGGTAGGGAGGGAGGACCGAATAGGAAAGAGGGAGGAGAGAAGAGATAGAGAAAAGGCACAACCGCATAATTAACAGCGGCATGCTGCAGCCAATTAAATATTTACAGAGGCACTTCTCTCCGACACCTTGATGATGAAGACAGGCAGCCCAAGGATTATCAGATGGGTGGAGCCTAGGGAGGGAGAGGATTAAACATTAACCGCCAGATAGATCCCTTTTCTTCCCCGTCTGATCCCATTAACTCTTTCTGGCCCAGCTCTTTCCTCAGCAACTGGTTTTTCTCCTCCCCACCCCTGAACGCCCTGACAGCCAGGCTCCTAGCTACCTGCTCTCTGCTCCCCCCAAAAGACCCAGCCCGCCCCCCGACTTTCCTCGCCACCTCTCACGTCCCTGACAGCCAGTCTCGCCAGCCTCCTACTTGCTCCACCACTCCTCCACCACCTGTCAGCCCCAGCATGGCGAGAGCAGCAGCTAAGAGTGCGGCAGCAGACGAGCACCACCTGGACACCTCTCACATGGCAGAACAAGATGGATACAGGTAGCCTGCTCTCCCGAATGACTAGGTTGAAATAGATGTGGGCAGGATTTTAGCTGACAGGGAAATCTAAGAAACAGCAGGGAAGTTGTAGTGAATGGATTGTTTTGAATTTGTGCTGCATCATGTTTCCGCCAAGGTGTTTATTTAATCTGAAGGCTGAATCATTTAGTAGAACCATTATGATATATAGTCATGTATGAATGAATAAATGTATGAACATGTATGAATCATCAAATGTGAGGAAGAAATTGTTTTCAAGCTCATTCTTAGAGACAAAGGTCTCTTAAAATGTCAGTGGTCATTTCGGTTAAAGATTCTGAAGGTCAGAGAAAGTGTTCATCGACAATATGTTACAGCAACTGCCAGAATATCCTAAGAGACCCACCATCAAAACCGTCAGCTTGATTTTACTGTTAGATCACACACATAGTGATATTCTGGCCTCAGCCAACAGAGTTGACATCTGCCCCTTTCGGCTGTACATGTGCTGCATCCACACTTCTTCATCCACTCCCCCCACCCTTCCCTCCTTCCATCCCTCCCTCCCCCTCCATCCCTCTCTCCCTCTCTCTAATCCCTCTCCACACAACAGTCAATAGAGCACCGCAGAGAGCACACAGCCATACAGCACTCAATCTGCAGAGTTTTACTACTTCAATAGGCGGCCACAGATCTTTACCATTGAATCCTCCGGAGCTGCGGAGGAGAAAAGCTAAGTGTTAACTCCTGGGACGACGCTTCCCGAACTGTATTTTACACCATTTTCCTTGGACTGGAGCATAAACCCCTTAGCACATTGAAATCAATAGGGTAGTTAAACTGTTATTTCCCTCCCCCAGACAACCACACACCCACCATGCACCAACCCCGTACAAGACCAAGTGGAGTACTGTAAATACATCCTTAGCACAGGTAATTTGACAGATTTGTGAGTGAAGTGCTGCCATAACGTAAAGGCCTAAAATAGTCCTTCTCACTGACAAAAGATGTCTGTCTGTAATGCCTGTTGTCTCTCTTGACAAGTTAGGAAAACAAAACTTTCCACCTGTAGGATTACAGTATGTCTGGAATATCATTATAGAAACACGGGCTGTGTAGACACATTGTTATCTTCCTATCTGAAAAATCGATGTATTTCAACCTAATCCTTTGGAGTTGAGGCTGTAAATACATTATGTCGCCCTAGGCAAAACATAAGTGCTGGCCGCCAATGTATGTCTGATCTTACACATTCACTTGCACCAATATATGTACAGAGCTGAGTACTTCACATTCTCAAGCTCTTCTCAACACTTCAAACACATGCCACATGTTACTTGTGTGCTTTCAAATTCTCAGACATCCGACAGCAGTTGCATTAATTAAAACGACAAAATCTACACTGATTACAAATAAATAAAAGAGAGTGGTAGCTTGAGAGTGTGAAATGAACAGTGTTGATAATCAAATTCCCTGAAAAAAGCAATTAAGCACATTGAGCGATTGACAACATCTAACATCTGTTCAATAGATGTGAAAAGTGTTTTAAGAAATGGCCTGAAATGTTGCTTGTTTTCAGAAATGTTGCCTGTGGCCAGAAATGTTATCTATGGTCAGAATTATTGTCTGTGACCTAAATTGTTTTCTGTGGTCAGAATTGTTGTCTGTGGTCAGCATTATTGTTGTCTGTGATCAGAATTGTTTTCTGTGACCAGAATTGTTGTCTGTGATCAGTGTTGTTGTCTGTGGTCAGAATTGTTGTCTGTGACGAGAATTGTTGTCTGTGACCAGTATTGTTGACTGTGACCAGAATAGATCCATGATGTGTTTTAATAGTATGCTGCTGCATTGGACCAAAGCCCTACATCTCTCTCATTCTATCTTTCTAGCAATAGCATCTGCAGAATAGTAGCTGCTATGGAATTAAGAGTTGAGTGAGCCAAGTTTCACAGTAGACGGATTATGAAATATACACATACACACTGGTTTCCAGCAATCAACATGGCATAGATAAAGTGCTGAAAACGTATTAGCAAATTCAATTTTGAACAAAATCTGAATTCAATTTAGTGCCTGGCTAAAATATCTCATTTGCTTTTGTTTAGTTTTTGCATGCATGAGCCTTATAGCAGTTCACAACAGACTCCCTTCATTTTGCTCCCTGTTCATTTTCTGCTCGATAATGACATATTTCGTCTTGAATATGCAAATATTTGAGATATGCTCAAATGTATAATAAAGCCAGTTAATCGTGATGACTGGAATGAAGGAAATTAGCCAATTAGAAGTTACTTTCAAGCTGCAACACTAATGAAGAACAGAAAACAAGTTACCATGACGTTTCCTTTGTCTTAACATCTACTTAACAAGAGCAGAAAGCCACAGCATTTATCAGAGTAACTAGAAATATCATAACATCTTAAACCACCATCCCTATGCGCTAACTCTGTGTACTGTAGAAGCTCCAAAAAGCTCTCAAACCAACAACTGGCTTCAGGCCCAACCGCCTGCAGTGCTGGGGCAAGTGAGTATGTGTGCATGTGTGCAGGGGTGCAACTTTGTTTTAGAAGTGTGTCTACATAACCTGGCGGGGGGTCTGGGTGAGGATTTTTTGGCCATCTAAAACTAATTTACTGCATTTCTACACAATCCAATATGTTGTGTCTATTTAGAACAACAAAAGTAAGCAAAAACGCCCACAGTTATCAAGCTAGGTAAGATATCATTATTAAATATGTTTAAGTGATTGATAAGACTGAACTAGATCAAAGGTACTTAATAATCAATATTGTGTTGCACCTTTAAACAATAGCCTAACAAATGAACAACTCTTAAAAAATACAAAGACTTTTGATTGTCTTTATTAAGACATCCTGAGGAGTATTTCTGTCTGTAATAAAGCCCTTTTGCGGGGAAAAACTCATTCTGATTGGCTGGACCTGGGTCCCCAGTGAGTGGGCCTAGCTCCCAAGTGGGTGGGCCTATGCCCTCCCAGGCCCACGCATGGCTGTGCCCCTTCCCAGTCATGTGAAATCCATAGATTAGGGCCTAATGAATTTATTTAAATTGAGTTATTTCCTTTTATGAACTGTAACTCAGCAAAATCTTTGAAATTGTTGCATATTGCATTTATATTTTTGTTCAGTATAATTCATATCACAGGCCTAATAGTCCCGTAGAGCTATTTTTACTTGCACACAATATAGCTGGATCACCCTGTCCTGTCCCGAGGGGTCCACTGCCCTGCAGCGCCCCAACACAACACACCCCACTCAACTTTAGGATCTCAGTGAAACATTCATTATTGGTTTCAGGTGTGTTAGGTCAAGGCCAGAGTGACAACCCACAGGACGGCAGACACCCAGGACCAGGACTGAGCAGCCCAGTAGCTAGGGATTGCCTAAATAGGTATCTCCCCTGACGTGGACATGTTTTCAATACAGACTCCTTTTGTCGTGCTGTATTCCATATAAGTCATCCAGACCTTATGAAAGTTGCACACTATACCCTTAATCTTGTAATAAATAAAATGTAGTGATACATAACTTGACATTTCTGCCATCCATTGTGACATTGTGGGAGGATAACCAGCCTTCCAATTAATGGCAATGCATATCTTAGCTGCTTTAAATGCTTGGTTACACAGTTTCTTCTGATAACAGTCTCCAGTATCAACATTTCCAAGCAAACAAAGACAGGGAGAATCTGTAGACATGCTGAGATAAAATAACATTTCTTTGCCAGAATTCAGCCAGACCATAATAATTCCTCCAGCAGAGGAATTACATTTCTGTTTCACTGGCATATATTATGTTCTATGGATGGTCTTAAACTGCAGTAATTTATGTCTGAGATTATATGAACATGACTGGGCATTCAAACATACAGTGGGGAGAAAAAGTATTTGATACACTGCCGATTTTGCAGGTTTTCCTACTTACTAAGCATGTAGAGGTCTGTCATTTTTATCATAGGTACACTTCAACTGTGAGAGACGGAATCTAAAACAAAAATCCAGAAAATCACATTGTATGATTTTTAAGTAATTAATTTGCATTGTATTGCATGACATAAGTATTTGATCACCTACCAACCAGTAAGAATTCCGTCTCTCACAGACCTGTTAGTTTTTCTTTAAGAAGCCCTCCTGTTCTCCACTCATTACCTGTATTAACTGCACCTGTTTGAACTCGTTACCTGTATAACAGACACCTGTCCACACACTCAATCAAACAGACTCCAACCTCTCCACAATGGCCAAGACCAGAGAGCTGTGTAAGGACATCAGGGATAAAATTGTAGACCTGCACAAGGCTGGGATGGGCTACAGGACAATAGGCAAGCAGCTTGGTGACAAGGCAATAACTGTTGGCGCAATTATAAAAAAAATGGAAGAAGTTCAGATGACGGTCAATCACCCTCGGTCTGGGGCTCCATGCAAGATCTCACCTCGTGGGGCATCAATGATCATGAGGAAGGTGAGGGATCAGCCCAGAACTACACGGCAGGACCTGGTCAATGACCTGAAGAGAGCTGGGACCACAGTCTCAAAGAAAAACATTAGTAACACACTACGCCGTCATGGATTAAAATCCTGCAGCGCACGCAAGGTCCCCCTGCTCAAGCCAGCGCATGTCCAGGCCCGTCTGAAGTTTGCCAATGACCATCTGGATGATCCAGAGGAGGAATGGGAGAAGGTCATGTGGTCTGATGAGACAAAAATAGAGCTTTTTGGTCTAAACTCTACTCGCCGTGTTTGGAGGAAGAAGAAGGATGAGTACAACCCCAAGAACACCATCCCAACCATGAAGCATGGAGGTGGAAACATCATTCTTTGGGGATGCTTTTCTGCAAAGGGGACAGGACGACTGCACCGTATTGAGGGGAGGATGGATGGGGCCATGTATCGCGAGATCTTGGCCAACAACCTCCTTCCTTCA